TTCTTTGGCAATTAGTAATGGCAATTATAGCGTGAAGTTTTCTTTTGTAATGTCAATTATAGCGTGAAGGAATGTTAGGTAAGGTTAGTTTTGTTTACAAACATTAATTATACCTTGAAGTTTTCTTTGGCAATTATACTCTGTTTTTAAACCAGGAGGAGTATTTTAAATTTGTCACCAGATTGACCTTGCACGTGATTGGTTGAATGCGAGGAAGGTTCACACACAGGCAATTTTGAATTTTGATTTTGAATTTGAAGGTTAGGTAATTGATAATTCGACAGTTTCGTGTCATTATTGTATATTTTGTGTTCTTAAACCCTTTTTTATTATATTTTGAAATAAATACACTCATAACTTCAATGTTAATTTGTATGTTTAGTGTTGACGATAACAAACGAAAATAAATACAATAATAAGTAAATAAATAAATAATAATTATTAATTTAAATTTACCGCCAAAATATCTAGTGATATTTTCTGGTGATTTTTCCTAGTGTAAATCTGACTTTCGCGTTTACTCCTCCTGGTTTAAAAACAGAGTATAGTATTAACACAGAATCTATTGACACACAGTCTATCTATCAAAACGTGACATCACACGTGTTTCTTGGGTCATTTTATTTTGAAGCCACATGATTACTCTTGAATTTATCCCATAACTTATTTATTAATTAATTACTTCCTTTTTATTAGGGATGATTGCAACGGTTCAATTACTATTAGGAATAGTTTCAATCGACACAGAAGAATTATCAGTAGGTGAGAAGCATTTAACAAAATGCCAAGAATTAATAGAAGGAAATCAAACTAAACCAGAATTAGCATTCGTAACGTTACACATGTACAATCAATTGGGGATTTTGTGGTCAAAACGTGAATCGGAAGTTGCTCAAAAATATCTCGAAAAATCCGAAAGCTTTTATTTTACAATTAAAGATTTAAATGTAATCCCAATTGACCCCAACGATCTTTTCGATAACAACCTAGAAAGTTACAATGAACAAAGCGAAAATATTCGATTTGAAAAAGGATACACGTTGACTTTGTTTTATCTCGCACAAATTCACGGTAGTTTAGGGAACGCTTTAAGAAGTTCCGTTTATTGCCATAATACGTTAAAAAGACAATTAGAATACGACGATTATGAATCGATCGATTGGGCTTTAAATAGCGCGACTTTATCACAATTTTTTATGCAAAAGCATGGTTTTAAACAAGCTAGACATCACTTAGCCGCGAGTAATTACATCTTAGATAAACATTTCGAGAAATTAAATGAAGAGGAAAATCAAGAATCAGAAGAACATCAAGCTAAATTAGAAACTTACAAGCATCGAAGTGCTGATGTAGCAAGATGTTGGTTAAAATATGGTTTGATGCTTTTAACAAGTTCTAAGGAGAGATTATTAAAGCATATTGAAAATATTGATGCTGAAGTAAACGATTGTGATTCAAGTACGGATTTATCTACGATGATTTTAGATGAATCTGATAAAATTAAATCGGAGGATATTCAAAATTTATTTTTTCCTTCGTTAGATTTAAAAAGTTATGAAGAAAAAATAACCGATCAATTTTTGTTGACGTTTGATGACGCAAAACAAGTTTTTTTAATAGTCCAAACTTGGATTAATCAGGCGCGCTCTTATTACACGATAGATACATTAGCTTCTGATTATATTGAAATCGTTCAAGATGAAAGTCAATCTTATGATTCATTAGTTTTTTACGAAGAAAATCCAGATAACCAAGCAAAACTTTATAAACGAGCCGCAGATGCTTTAGAAAACGTCGTTAAACAAATAAATCCAACTTATTATCTTCACCACTGTCGACAAATTTGGTTTAGATTGGGTCAAATTTATTCCGACATGATCGATATTAAATCGGATAAATTAAAAGAAACGACCGGAAGACCAAGTCCCGTGGCGCTAACAAAAATTAATACTTTAACTCAAAAAAGCATCACTCATTTCCAAGCTTTCATCGATTCTTTTATGAACCCAAAAAAGGAAATGCCTAAAGTGATTGAGGAAGATTTTCAAAAACCTTTCTTACAAGCTTACTTTCATATTGGAGCTTTAAACGGACGGTTTATCACGTTGGATAAAAAGAGGCAATTGGAGAATAGCACGGCCGCTTTAGAAGCTTATAAGAAAGTCGCCGATTATTGTAAAGAAAATCCGAAAGCTGAGGAATTAATTCCCGCTGAAATGGGGATTATTAAAGAAATGCTTCAGTTATTACCGATTAAATTGATGAAATTGAGGCATGAAGTTCAGCAAAGTTCTTAATAAATTAGCGTTTAAATTTTTTTCGTCGCAATGATGCTTATAGCAGTGTTTATAATTACTATTAATAACATTTGTGATAATTAATAGATATTTATTGCTTGGTTTTTGTATTTAATAAAGATGTTAGCCAAGAAAATTTTGTTTTAATTTATTGATTACAAAAAACGTAATCAAAAAAGCTTTGGAAAATACTTAAGAATTATGGGTTTTTGAATTAACACTACTAAAATATTTTCAGATTTCTAGCAATTTCGGTTATAACGGAAGGCGCCACCTACTTTATTTTTTTAAATGGAACACCCTATATATTTTTACATATTTGGATTTGTCTATTTTCAAGGTTTATGAATAACTTAATTTTTTGCAATTTGGTTCAGCCATTCTTGAGTTATTCGAACTTTTCTAGAAAAATCTGCTCCAGCAGACATTTGTTCAAAAATTCAGAAAACTCGATTTTTGGGATATTAATTTAGGATTCAGAACATGCTTAAGCAACATGATGGAGTATGTTTTGGTGCCGAGAACAGCTGTCTAGAACGTTTGGTCACTTTACTATGGCACGTTGAGTTTCCGAAATTTGGAAGCACCATAACTTCATTTTTTTAAATGGCACCCCCTATATTTTATTACTTAGTCGACACCGAAGTGTCTCATTCTACATCTTTTATACGCCATATATCCTATACCTAACATTAATAGTTTGGGAGATAATTAGAGTTTTTTGAAAAATGCACACATATCATATGAATATTTAGCCTAGTGTGCCATGGAAAACAAATGTTTAATGACTTATTGACAAACGTCAAAGTCTGATTTAGGTTGTCTGATGCTTGTGAGTCGAAAACCAGTTAAAATGGATATTAATAACGGAAATAATGCGGAAATTTTCCAAGAAAACGTAAAACTTTAACACTTGAGTTAAAGCACAGTATTGTGAAGGATTTTGAAGAAGGCATGAAAACATACAATACTAAAAGATAAAGTGAATGTCAAAAATTGTACAAAAGATGAAACTTTTATAGCTAGCACAATATTGCAGGGAGTGGGGAAGCAGCAAGTGCCGATAAACTCGCAGCATCTGTTTTTCCTATCGCATTAAAGAAGTTAATAGAAGAAGGCGGTTATAGCACACAGACCATATTTAATGCAGACGAGACAGGGATTATCTGGAAGAAAGGGCCTCTCATAGAACGTTCATTACACGTCAAAAAAAAATATTTCCAGGATTCAAAGCATCGAAAGATCGATTAACAGTTATGCTTGGTGGAAATGCTGCTGACGATTGTAAACTAAAACCTTGTTGTATCGCTCAGAAAATCCAGCGGTTAGCATGTCTTAACATAACGGGTGCAAGAGATCCTGTCCGACGGTTGCTTTGGAAGCCCTACTCGGTCTCACACCGCTCCACATATATATACAAAAGGAGGCAGCCTAAAGTGCCTTATCACTGAAAACAGTTTCTTCACTCAAGTTGATGCAGGGTAACCTCAGAGGACACCTCGAGATCCTGAAGGACCCATGTCTAAATCACCTGATTGAAATTAAAACGGACCTCATACCGACGGAATACAATTTCAACCAACCGTATAAGGTCATATTTAGTAGCAGGGATGATTGGGCCTCAACTAAAAAGAGGAGCCCTAGCCTGGTACACCGATGCTTCAAAGGCAGTAAGATCTGGAGTAGGCATGGGCATCAGTGGACCAAATAGCCACATCAAATTGCCCCTCAGCTCGGACTTAACAATTTTCCAAGCAGAAGTTCTTGCTATAAACTTCTGCACCGCTTTAAACTTACAGAAGGGACAAAAAGGTGCATCCATAAACATTTTCACAGACAGTCGGGCCGCCTTAAAGGCAATTCAGGCCTACACGTGTGGCTCCGCACTGATCAGATAGTGCACCAACAACCTGAGAGAACTCGCTAGGGGCAATGATGTTACCCTATGGTGGGTTCCAGGTCACAGCAATAATCAACAACTGGGAGGCTTCAAAGATAGCCTTACGCTGGAAAGAACTTCCAGGTCACAGACAAGCGAAGAGTATGATAACTCCGTCGCAAAACAAAACCAAAGAGGTTTTATGCCTCAGCAAAGGGGATCTAAGAACGCTCTCAGGCTACCTGACCGACCATGTGCCCCTAAAATACCACCTCTTCCACATTGGACAAGCTGAGGATCATACTTGTCGACTATGCAACGACGAGTCAGAAACTGCTGAACATATACTGTGCAATTGCGTCGCCAGAGGCCGTCTAAGGCACAACGTCTTCGGTAAAACTCCCCTGTTACCTACCGACATAAAGGTTCAAGACCTCAGGACAATACTAAGGTTCATTAAGGACCTACATTTGCCCTAAACCTTTGGAGGACTAAAGTTACAATAGATCTTATAGGTCGCGCTAACGAGAGGGGCCGCTCTCCTCAGCCCGGCAGCAATAATAATAATAATCGCTCTGAAAACCCCAGAGCCATAAAGAATGAAACAAAATCAGAATTGCCAGTAATTTGGAAGTCCAATCGGAAAGCTTGGGTTACTGCTTCTTTATTTGAAGACTGCTTTGGAAATCATGGAAGTTGAACGGTATTGTTCCTCTAAGAACATTGCATTTAAAGTGATGTTAATTATTGACAACGCGCCCTGGACTCTCGGCAGCTAACCTTATCAACAATGATCCTCGCGTTAAAGTAATATTTTTGCTCCCAAACACGACTAGTTTACTTCAACCTATGGATCAAGGTATTATGAAAACGTTTAAGGCGTATAATGCAATGGAATGAAGTTTCTTCAAAAACAATGAAGGGAGCTTGGAAAAAGCTTTGTTTACTGATTCACTTGATACTGTTAGAAAACGATCCTATACTCGAAATAGTAGCAAATATTGTTACTTTGAAAAAGTTAGTCGATTTGGAGCTGAGCTTGATAGCGAAGATATCATTGAAAATAATGAAGCACTTAATTCCATACAAAATGGCATAGACATTTTAGAGGAAATAGATTACAATGAAGAGCACGTAATGACAGTTAAAAAGAATATACAACAATCGATTGAATGTTATCAAGAAATTCTAAGGCAGAAGAAAAAGAATTTATGTCGCCAAACTACCATCTCTAATTTTCTAAAACCATCACATTTAAATGGTTAAATCAAGCTACATACATTGTAAAACAGTTAAATAATATGTTAATAATTATTGTTTCATAGAGTTTAATAAATACGTTTGAATGAAGATGTTTAACATTAATTTTGGTTCAAGCCTTTAGATACTCAACTATTTTCAGGGTATTACTGAATTTCAATATACAATTCTTTAAATAACCTATACCTTATAAATTTTTCTTTGTCAGAAAAAGTATTTAACGAGTTCAAGTATCAATTTGAAATTTTGGGAGAAAGTCGCCTTTATAGTTAAAGCTTGTTGGAATTGTATCACTTTTCCAATCAACATTTAAATGATCTGCCTTTGCATTTTATGCAGCTCAAACATTTCGAATTCATAAATTCCTTTGTATTAATTTTAAAGTTGTCTTTAACTTACCTTAAAGTATATATGTATGTAGTTTCATGTAGGGGTGAATTCTTACATAGCACTTAGGGGCCAGAAAACCAACCCAAAGTTTTAATGAACGTTGATATAGAAGGTATGTTCTTTATGTCCAAAATTTGGCGCCATGGTACGCCAAAAATGGGTTTCCTTAAGTACGCGAAGAGTACCGTCTCGTCTTCCATTTTACCCAGGAACTGAGTTGATCTCTTCTGGTCAGGGTAGATTTCTTTGCAAAGACATCTAGTGCAGTCTCATTCCATCTATCGCAAAAAGCTCGATGCGAGGTGTTGGTGAGCAGCTTTAATGCTGTTTTAAAAGTTAGTGGTATTACTGTTTGGGTTCAGGGGAAATCGGTGACCTCTTAATCGCCCGTTTCGCCAACATGTCCACATGATTGCGTCCCTTATTTCCAGTATGTCCGCTGTATCGTGACATTGTTATAAACATTAGCCTCTTCAAGTGAGTGCCGACAGGACTTCACTAACGATGATGTAGCTTCTGCCAACTTCTTTTTATAGCAGTTATTTCGGTGTAAGCAGTCGTGCAGTACGAAACTAGCGAAATGAAAGATGCAGCTGGAGATTGTGCGAGAAAATTCCTACTCTAGAGTTCTTTGATCCATCAGTGTAGATAGTCAGCGTTTTATCAGTCCTTAAGTTGATGTGGGGTATCATCTCAATTAAGTAGGTATGATGTAGTCTACGCGAGCTTTGAGGAGGGTGACATTGGGTGCACTTAAAATGGGGAAAACTTTCTTAAATTTTAATCAAAAACTTCTTTCAAATTTAAACTAAAAAAAAAAAAATAGTGGGTTGATGATTCGGTAATACTATTGATCGATACAAATTTGGGTTTTGTATCATTTTGTCCTTACTTACATGGATCTGCTGCTATTACATCCCATCATCCACCATCGTCTTCATTTTTGTAATTGTTGATGCCACCAAAACTTCTAAGTTATACATTTTCCTCTAGTGTTGAAGTGGAAATTGGGATTGTGTAATGCGGAATTAGGATATGAAAAGTGCTACAATAAAAAAAAATAAATAAATTAAATACTTTTTATTTCCAAATAAAATAAATTGAGTATTGAAAAAAAAAATAACAAAAACGATTGTTGCATATATTTAATAATTTTTTTAACTTTATCAAAATGAGATACCTCCAAGACTTTTAACTATTGAAAAATTAACAATCAATTAGCGTTACATTTTAAATAACCCAAAAATGAAATCAATAAGTAAATAAACAATTTCAAAATTTATACCAATGCTAAGAAGACGGGAAAAAAAAAACAATTTAATCAATAAAAGTCTGCAAATATCTCGTACAAATTTGGTTCTGCCAAAAATATTATTGTAGTTTTCCAAGAAAAAATGCGTACAATATTAAAAATAGGAAAATCGGAAGAAAAATTTTATAAGAACATTTTTTTTTTAAGAAATATTCATGACACCCAGATAATAAACGTTCGGAAATAAATTAAAATCGTTTTGTAAGATGAATCGTTACCCAAAAAAAAATTACGTCAAAATAAAAACAATTAATTTAAATTACCTTACAAAACGATTGCAAAAATCGTTATTTTATTCGGTCCACCCCTCCCCAGAAATTACAACAAAAAAAAAACAAAGTAAAAGACATTGTATTCCCTATTTTGTCGGTTTACAACAATTTATCATGATATGCATCATCATTGTTTAAATTTAGAAAAAAAATCGCCAAAAATTAACGAAATTATTTTTGTTTTAATTAATTTCGTGTTAATTATTAAATTAAACCTCCGCCGAGTTAATTTTTTGTAAATATAAAATCCCGAAATGTGACAGAGGTCCTTCTCAAAATGTTACAACACTCAAACTGTAAAAAAATAACTCTGTTATATCGACACGTACAGATTTTTGAGTGAAACATTCTGAGAAGATTGGTTTCAGCCTCAAAATTTTTTTTGTAAGTTATAAAATTATTTTTTGGTCGGCTGATACACAAAAAAAAATTCATTTTATAGAATCTCCGTAAAAAAAAAGGTTAGAAAGATACACGACATCTTTCTTCATCTTCATTTTATTTATCTTCCCTCTTCTGCTTAATCACTTTTCATCCTTTTCTTATTTTTTGATGTTACACCAAAAAATTATCACTTGGAGTCTTTTTTCTCCTGATTAAAAGGCGTTGAATCACTCTTATCCACAAATAATCACATCTTAACTTTTCTTCTTCATCAGCATTATTAATAATAATGTCACTATTGTTATTATAAACAGTAAACTTAAAATTATATTGCGTGTGAAAAAAAATTAATTGAAAATTGGTGAGATCTAATTTTATCACGTTGAAAACTCGGAAAAGTCTCTGTAATAACGGAGATTCAGATGGACTAGCTTTAAATTAATGTTGTTTATATACAGAGATTCAACAAAGTTCTCATTTACCAACAATAAATCTTTTTCAATTGATTTTATTTAAAATTGTATCCATCTTTTAGAAACGTTGGGTAACATAAACGTTTCTAAAAATATTAAAAAATTTAATAAAAGCAAAAAAAGGTGATAAATTAGATTCTTTTTTTCATTTAGATAGTTACAATTTTTATGTAAAAAAATCAATTGAAAGAGTGGCGAAAAAAAATAATGATCTCACCGAAGAATTTTGAGGATCGCTTATTTTATTTGAAAAAAATATAAAAATTTCGATTTTTTTTAACCGGTTTTTCCCAAAAAAAAGTAGAATTTCCCTTTAAAAGTTCTTCTACTACTTTTAATTTTTTTTTTTTTTAAATAAAAAAATATCCAACAAGAAAATGCAAAATCAATAAACGAAAACAAAATTCTTCCTCTTTTCCGAAAATAAAAAAATCACCTTTTTTTAAATAAAAATTTTTCACTTTCGCTTCATTTGTGAACAAATTTTACGACTTATTCCACCACTTTTTCTTCTTTTGCGTTTAAATACATATACTATTTACAAAAAGTCTTTATCGATGCGGCTCGAAACCGATCCATTTTCTTTTTTTTCTTTAGATTGAACTCGCGGTGAACATTTTTTTATTACAATTTTATTTCATTAATTTTTTTTTACGATGGAGCATTACCTCACCGCGTCACACGACGTGTATTGTTTTTATTTACTGCGCTTGATTACTCTCCATGCTGTCGTCGTCGTCGATTTTCGGCACGTATAAGGCCGGATCGATCACTTTTGGGATCGGTTTAATTTCCGTTCCCAATTCTTGTTCGATACGATGGAGACCGTAACGATCTTCGTAGGTTATTAAATTTATAGCGACACCGAGATGACCAAATCGTCCCGATCTACCGATCCTGTGAAGATACGTTTCAGCTATTTTAGGAAAATCGAAGTTAATCACTACATTTACTGCTTGGACGTCAATACCTAAAAAAATAAATTATATAAGTTAAAAAATATCTTTTTAACAATTTTTATTTTTAATACAAAAAAATTAAAAGTAAAAATGTTTGAAACTCTAAAAATTATAAAATTAGAGGGAATTTTACAATGTGATTTTAGAGATACAAGAATTATTTAGCATATATGTCCCCCAATTCTGATTAAAAGAGCATCAGATTAGGTCTACTATTTATATGCACACACAAGGGACACAATATGGTGAAGAGATATTTGAGGTGTGTCTTGGGGTTGAGCAGAGAGATTCAGGGATACAGTGAGAGAGGAGATGAAGCTGGAGAAAATGATGGTGGAAACAGACCGATTTTAAGATGTTGGGAGAGTGATAACTCAAATCAGAGGAGACACCTAATTACACCTTAATATACAGAGTGTGTCAAATGTCTGGAATATAGCCAATAATTTCGCCATGTGTATTAATTTTATAATAATTTTAAAGAAAAATATCCCAAATAAACAATTCTTTATTAATTGTGGCGCATTTTTTAGCGATATCTGCTTGTTTACATTGTTTTTTATTTCGTTGCTATGGCAACCAACATTGTTATTTTAAATGGGATACATATGTTTTTTTTTGCATATTTTGTTAGAGGATAAATCCCTCTACGCGATGAACATATCAAATCATATGGTTGTGTAAGAAAAAAATCAAGAAAAACTGCGTTCTCTGAACATATGAAATCAGCAAATTACAATCAAAGTAGGCGCAGAAATAACGCGTTTGACAGCTTTAAATGTCAAAAAATTGACAGTTTAAACAAATATGGTGCAATAGACTGCCAAAGTCTGACATCACAGAGAACCCCCCCATACATTATTAATATTTGGATTCTTTTTCGTTCGCTTAATGGACAACCTAAGCCTTGACGTCATAGAGATGGGCGGAGCTTAAAATTTCGTTGCTAACGATAAATCGCCAAAAATGTCATTTGAAATGTCATCACTTAGTTTATTTTATTTTTTCTTCAAACGTCATTAAATGACAACTTTGTTGTCGTGTTTACTCGCGGTAGAAGTAAGTCATTGTTGCATAACGACGGTTGCTAAGATCAACATAGCAAAAAAGTACTTCAGCGTTATGGCGCTAAAGTAAATTTCACTTTAGCGCCATAACGTTGAAGAACATTTCACTTTAGCGCCGTATTATTTGCAACGTTTGAAGAAAAAATACGATGTTTTATTCGGAAGAGAAGCAGATTCGTTTGTGGCTGGTCCGTCATTGCCGGACTCACTTCGTTCGTCCGGCAAACTGTCGGACTCACTTCGTTCGTCCGGCAAACTGTCGGACACGCCACAATTTTAACGGCTCATCTGTCATTAGCGACTCACTGCGTTCGTCGCTAAGCGACAGACCACGCCATAAAAAGCACTGCTTCTCTTCCATATAAAACAATATACTATTAACACTAATGAAAAATTGCATATGGTGATTTACCGTTAGCAACGAAAATGTTTGGAGTCGGTATAAGCTCCGCCCATCTCTATGACGTCAAAGCTTAGGTTGTCTATTAAGCGAACGAAAAAGAATCCAAATATTAATAATGTATGGGGAGTTCGGTGATAGAAAACGCACTTAAAGTAAATTTTGTACACTGCTCAATAATATTTACCCGTATACACAAATTACACAATCCACAGTGTCCAAAATATTAAAAAAATTCTTTAACACCGGAAGTGTTAAAAACCTTCCAAAAACTGGACGGCCGAAGACAGCTACCAATGACGAAACTACATTAAATATATCACCATATCCATACATTATTAATTATTCATAATTGTTGAAACTGTCATTTTCTTGGAATTTAAAGCTGTCAACGGCGTTATTTCGGCGCCTACTTTACCGATTTAACATTTTAAGAAAACGCATTTTTTTCTTATACAACCATACGATTTGATATGTTCATCGCATAGAGGGATTTATCGTCTATCAAAGTATGCACAAAAATATATTCATCCCATTTAAAATAACAATGTTGGTTGCCATAGCAACGAAATAAAAACAATGTAAACATTGTCAGCAAGAAATATTGCGGTAATTTATCTTGCACGCATGCGCAAATGACGCGTTCTTTTTGATATTCTTGCACTTGCAGATGATAGGTTTGGACATATACAGGTGTATCTAAATTGATGCGAAAGATTTTAAGGGGTGATTTTTCAAGGAAAGTTAAGGGGGGTCTTTCATATAACTTTTTGGTCAAAACCCCTTCTCCTCCAAGTTATAGCCCTCTAAAGTTAAGGGTAAAAATCTGCAACTTTCTTATCTCTTGACATTTTACAACTAACAAATTGTTAGTTTGATCACAAAGAATAAAATAATGCTACTTCATTTCCTTGACTAATAATAACTAATCTCTGAATTAATTCACCTGAGCCTGTGTATTATTTCATTTTTTTGTGGAGCAATTTTAGGAGAAAATGTCAAGAGACAAAAAAGTTGCGCATTGAATCCCACTATTTAAATGAAGTTTTTAAACAGAAAAATGTAGATGTTTTAAAAAGTTCTAATGCAAAGTAGTATGGGGTTGATCTTTTCAGCCTCTTGTAAAAACATATTATGGGTTATAATAATCGTCCAAAAATGTCACCTTATTAGTAATAGTTATCTGCCGAATGTCATCCTTCCAAATTCCTCCATAGTGGATTTATAAAAGAAAAACAATTTTTTCCCCTAACTTTAGGGGGCTGTAACTTGAAGGAGAAGGGGTTTTGATTAAAAAGTTACATGAAAAAATCCCCATCAATTTAGATACACCCTGTATTTCTTGTACTTACGTTGAAAGTTAGTTTTTTAGTTGCTTTTTGTGTTACCAACTGTGTTTTATTGGTGTGTTTGTGAAAAATATGTGTTGGCAGCATTGATTGCAACTGAACTATTGCAATTCAAAGTTGCCAAAAGTAAAGCCAATCGCGTTAGAGATGCAAGAAAAATTACTTACTGCAAAGTGGCCTTTACGAAATTTATTTTTTATTGACTTATTCGATAGTTTAGCAAAATTGAAGGCTTGTATAAGTTTTTATTTTTCAAACTGGGCTTTAGTTTTTCCAAAAAAATAACGAAAATTTGTAAAAACTTTGGTGACGTCACCGACGTTTGGCACGAGGTTGGTTGAAATAAAAATCAATAAAAGGTGCATGAACGAGATGCCATAAGAATTTTATGCGCTAGAAGAAGAGATCCGAACGATGCACGTTTGTGTCTTCTTGATCTTACGCGAAAACTTCGTAAACGTCACCAAAGTTTTTACAAAGCGGATTTTGAATTTAATATTAATTATTGTAAAAATTAAACCATTTTAGGATCTGAAAATGTTACCAATCTTTCTATTTTTACATAGTTTATCGATTTTTTTGAATAATACTGAGAATTTCTATTCCCAGTAGTGTTATACCTCGCCTGCAAGCGACCTTGGGTTGGAATGAAAAGTACGATATTATTCTATTAAGCCAATATCGCTTGCAAGTGATGCGCCACATATACTAGCACATAGTTAGTATATTATATGTTAGGATACAAAATAGGACGTCATTTTATTAAGCCAAAATCTCTTGTGGCGGACTCAGCATATTTGATCCAGCACATAGTGTTATGCCAAGCGACCTTGGCTTATTATAAAAAGTACAATGTCATTTTATTAAGCCAACATCTCTTACAGATGCCATATTTGATATTAAGACATAGTGTTATGCCTCAAGCGACCTCGCCTTAGTTAAGACATAAAGTACCAAATTACGAATTTGATATCATATTAAACTTCACAAAAAATAATAATTTTAGTATTTACCTCTGGTAAATAAATCTGAACTGACAAGATTCCTACAGAGTCCAGCTCTGAAATCATGGAAAACTCTGTTACGATGAGCCTGTGCCATTTTAGCGTGAATATAATAACAGCAATAGCCGAGTTCTGTGATTTTCTTGGCGAGCAATTCAACGCGTTGAGTCGAATTGCAAAAAATGATGCTCTGATTGATTTGTAATTTGGAGAAGAGCGTGTTCAGGCAGTGCACTTTCTGACGTTCCTGGACGAAAGCGTAATACTGGGTGACCCCTTTCAGGGTCAATTCTTCCATTAAATTAATTTCGTACGGATCGCGCAGATGCTTCTCCATAAATTGTTTCACCGTCAGCGGGAACGTCGCCGAAAAGAGAAGGATTTGTCGCTCCTTAGGCAACCGGGAGATTACGTGGTCGAGCATTCCCTTAAAATCTTGCGAGAGGAGTTTATCGGCCTCATCAAGAACCAGCATTCGACACTGATCCATATTCGCAACCTGTTTATCCATCAAATCTAAAATACGACCCGGCGTTGCTATTATCACCTGAACTTTTTGGTAAATACGCATTATATCGTCGCGTAAATTTGTTCCACCCGTCGTTACCATCACTCGGACAGGGTGCATGTGTTTTGCGAGTTCTATACAAATCTGGGACGTTTGTAATGCTAATTCTCTTGTTGGGACGATTATCAATGCTTGTATACAATCTTTTTTTGGATCTATTTGTTCCAGTACAGGAATACTATACGCTCCAGTTTTTCCTAAAAAAATTATTTATTTAAGTATTAATAAATTAAAAATAAGGAGTTATATTTATCTAGACTGTATGTTTTTCTTGTTATCTTATCAATTATTAGTTTTAAAATCAACAACTATACAAAAACAAACATAAATTATCTCGCATATCTTTTCCCCTAAAGTTTGAAATGGATTCAATCCAAACCAGGTCTAGTGACATGCTATATTTGAATTTAAAAATAATAATAATAATACCTGTTCCGTTTTTAGCTCTTGCCAAAACATCCTTTCCAGATAAAGCGATTGGAATGGAGGCTTCTTGAATAGGGGAAGGTTTTTCCCATCCTTTCTCAAATATACCCATCAACAATTCCCTCTTCAAACAAAACTCCTCAAATTCGTTGCCTCGCGTATCAGTGACATCCTAAACAATTTTTATTAAAAAAAAAAAATTAATCACAAGTTTTATTTAATACAAAAAAGATTTAAAAATTAAATTATTATTCAGAATAGGATTTATCATTTATTTGTTTAAAATGAAGGGGAATCCACAAATCATCATATTAACCATTCTAAAAATCCTTCATACATAAGAAACGTTAAGATAATAAATTAATCTGCTGAACAAAGCGAAATGTGTTGAACAGATGGTTACTATACAAACAAAAAGAAAGAAAGACGGATTAAAATATCTTTATTTTCAAAACATCACCTCGATAATGATAAGAACAGAGAATTAAAAGATTCATTACCAAGCATGACGCGTTATATTTGAAATGTTAAGAGTTACGTGAAAGTTTGCAAAAATTCTTTTTATTAGAAAGTGTTGATTAAAAAAAAAACTTTCTAATTAATTTATTGTCTAGAAACGGTAATTCGAAAATGAATTGATATGTAATCAAATGTTATCTGTATCGCGTATCGATTATTAAAGTTGATATTATATTATCGAACATTAAAACAATGATTGATTGAATTGATCGGTTAAATTTTATAAATTGAAGTTTTGATGCTGCAATTAATCAATATCTATATATTTAGATTTTATATTAAATTTATATCTCATTATATGAATTGGAGATGTTTTTATCCTGGAAGATAGATTATTTCAGTTTTTGAGTTGGAGAGAGAAACAATTCAGAAATTTACCAAGATTCAAGTAAACGGAAACGAGGAATCAATTACTTTGTTATATTAGAAAGAAAGAATAAATTCGCTAACAATGTTAGAGCAAAGAGAAAATGGGTAAACTGTTTACTTAGCTTAGAATGATACTGAGGAACATCTTTATACTGAGTTCAATACATGAGAAGGCGATACAAAGAACTTAACCACTTGTTCAAAGAAGAGCTTATCGCAGAATTCGTCAGGTTGCAAAGACCTGAAATAGAACGCTAAAAATGTTCTTAAGCAGCAGAATGCAAGGAGACCAAGAGGAAGGATATAAACTTGGAAGAAAGTAGCTCTTGATCGGCAGTGTTGGAGGCAAAAGATAAAGGAGGCTCAATTTGGGTTTTAAAGCCCAAAATACCATCACCCCCAAAGATGATTTCATTAACCAACGACTTGGGGAGATTGATCATTGATTGTTGCAAATAATACATCTAATTTAGACAAACTGGAATTGTGATTTGAAAGTTATCATTAAATTTAATGAATTGCAAAAATCCCAAAATGTTGTTTGTCACTCAGAAAAATTTCATGGTGCAGTCTCAATTTGGTGGCTATCATTTCGCTTCTAAAAGCTTTGTGGCTTTCTGTGTTCTAAGGTTTCAAAAGTTTCCTTGACCAGTTGCATTAATTTGTCAAGCGTGTTAAGGTCATCTGTATAACTCATTATTATGGTAGATTTGTTCATCAAAATTAGCTTTAGATCAAATCGGAGTTTTCTCATAATATGTTGAAGAAGTGTATGAGTTGGGTTGGCCCATTTCCTTATTTCAGTGCCAAAAATTAAAGTGTTCTTATTCGCTTGAGAGTTCCCTTTTCTATGCATTTGATCAGAATCACTAATTTGGATAGTACATTGATGTCGTCCATTATGGTGTAGAGCAAGGCTTTCCAACCTTGTTTTTAAGCCTCACCAGATTTTCTTTGATATAAGAAATAATCTCGCTCCAAGTATCACGAACAATACTTATGTAGCCACAGTATCGCCCACAGTTTGGGAAATCCTGGTGTAGAGTTAATCCAAACTCATTTGAAAGTTACTGCTTTTTGGTGTCTATCTCAGCCTAATGTCCTTCTAATTTATCTCTGATAATTGGAGTGAGTACTTTATATTTGTCAGCACTCCCATTATTACTACGTATTATATTTGTACTTTTAATATAAGAAAAAAGATTCACTTATCTTTATTATCACTCTAATTTTCAATTAATAATTTATTCATTACTGTTTGATAATAAATAATGGTCTCCATGTACAATAAATAAGATAGACAGAATCAACTTTTCTTTATAATAGTTATCTAATTTTTTTCTTATCTATTAGTAAATATTTAAACAATTTATTAAACAGAATTTGTAAAGAAACTTTGAAATATTCATTCATATTTCACAACATTAAAGTGTCAATGTCAAAATGAACTAGATTCAATGGAACTTGATAAATTGGTTACAGAGATGATTATTGGTTAAAATTTGCCCTTTAATTTTGTGGAAGTTGTGTTTTTTAAACGTTTACTGCAGGCAACGTCACCCAAATATAAATTAAGAAGTAGCCAATTTTTTACAGACATTGTGTGTGATGAGATTAAAGTGAAGCAATCGCTTAACGAATTTGACAAGCTAACATTCACTATAGATATTTGGTCTGATCCCAGCGCAGGCGTTTCACTTCTAACCCTAACAGCTCATGGAATAACAGAAGATTTAAAAAAAGTTAACATGGTTTTAAGATGTGAACCGAGTGATAAACTAAGCTTAATGCTTAAAGAGTGGAACATAAGTGAAAAGGTTCACTCCTATATTCACAATGTTCAAGTTTATTCAAAAATCAAGATGCCATAAGTCGTTGAAAAATACAAAAAAATTGCAACCCATTTTAATTATTCTATATATATTTTTTAATTATTTATTATTATGTATTAGTACTATGATGGAACATTTCTTGAAAATAAAAGATTCTATTCTTTATTTAAGTACTAACAATAGAATATCAGTATTGGTATCTTCTGAAGACTAGGAAAATAGGGAAAAATGAGTGAACATATTGAGGAACTAACTAAAGAATTAAGTAGTTACTCAACATACATCAACTGCCACCTCAAAATCAGATCATTCCAATATTAAGGATGTTTTGAAATATTTATTAGGCTCAAGTAGTGAGGAAGACAATGAAGAGGAAATGGTTATGAATGGCACACATCCCAATACTACATGAAGTCTCTTTTGTGGACTCTAATAAGCAGAAAAAAATACAGCTTTCAGAAAATCACTTGTTATGGTGGTACACTAATAGATTAAAGTACAAAGAGAACTAGTGAACAGTTGTTTAGCTGTGCTGATTTAGTATATGATCCTTTAAAAAATCAACTTAATAGTGATAAAGCAGCAAAACTCCTTTTTCTAAAATACAATCTTTTTTTGTTTAAGTTTAATTATTAATTTGTTAAGTAGTAAAGTTAGTTACCAACAAAACATTTAATAGAATACTATATTAAGTAAAACTTATCTTTTGTGTTTTTTAATTTTGTTAAATGTTTTTCCTGTAATATTTTTGTTTAAAATTAGTAACAACCATAGTTCTAGTTCTGCACTAGAACACAAGACCTAGAACTAGAAACATTCGGGTTTAGAAGGCTTAAGAGACGCATGGTTGTATTGTTGTGCAGCGCTGACGTCATGAGCGGGCCTTCAAAACATACGCAATTAAAATAACACCAACGCATTATGAATATAAAATGCTTGTACCTCAATTAGCTTTTGGAATATACATAAAGATATTTCCATAGAAACCAGGGCGTACATAGAAACCTACTTACTCTGTGCCACATAAAATGTAACATGTCAGAATGTTTCTAGTTCTATGTCTAATGTTAGTTCTAGTGATAGTGGTAGCGCTAGTTAATGTTACATATTTTTGTTGAAGTAAAACTAGAACTAACACTAGAATTAATACAAGACCTAGAACTAGAATCATTCATCAACCCTAGTTCTAGTTCTGTACTAGAATTAGCACTAGACCTAGAACCAGAACAACGCCATGCGTCTCTAAAAACGGTCAAAAAACTTAGGGTTGTAATAAGGAAGTAGGTAAATAATTTAAAGTTTGAATCTGTACTTTTGAACTGGTTTTTATTTAATATAAGTCTAACTAGTTTCAGCCCTTGGCCATCTTCAAAGACTATTTCTTATTAAAGAGGTCACAAATCGAAATTGGAGGTCATACCATTAATTATTAAATTTTGAATATTAAAGTCCAACAAATTGTAAATTAAATTTAAGGACGAATTGTTGCACAGGTTAAAATTTAAGAAAGTTCTTATATTTTAACATGGACTTTAATTTTGTAAATTTTAAACAAGTTTAAAAGTACAGATTCTAACTTCAAAATTTAAATTATTTACCTATTTCAAAATTAAGAACTGGTAGAATGGATTTCAATTATAATTCTTGTTATAAGGACCTTACATTTTTCCAAGCAAAACTTTTCCTTTGCAAAAATACCCAATTACTATTAAGCTATGCCATATTTTATATGAAACAATGCAAATGCATAGTAGTTTTGTAACTATGGTTATTGCATTCATGTATTTCAAATTACATGAAATTCCTGGTATATCATTGCATGAAAGATGGTAAATATATCATACAAAAAATAACTTACACTGGTTTTTATCCTTTTGTCCTTGGGCGGTATTTTCAGTTTGGACTTCCAACCAATGTCGTCGACTTTTTCCATGTCCCTAAATCCCAAGGAACAAAAAAAAAACTTAAAAAAAATTAATTTAATGAATAAAAACTTACAACTTCGTCTGTACAGGCATAACATGATTGTTAGCAGCAATCGACTCGGTCATCATCTTGTTTTCGTTTCTATACACTTTTGCAAAAGTAAAAATGTTTAAATGGGTTTATAAAACCCGCAAAAATCTGGGTTTCTACAATATGTAGGCTATATAAAATGTAATTCTCTTCTGTAGGGCTTTTATCTCTCTCTTTCTCGCTCCCCTGTAAAAAAAAAAAGACAAAGAACATTCTGTTCCCGTACAAAACTCGAAACTCACGTGCGTTGAACTATCCACAAAGAGAAAATAATCCGTTAATAAATTTATTTATAGATTATTCTACGCAGTTTTATGGATAAATGCAATATTTTGATAGATGACATAAATTCTCTCTTTGTGTCTCAACGGTTTTATGACCCAAAAATTAACAAATATGAAAAAAAAATTATGGATTTAGGTCGAACGTAAAAATACACGTTGACTAATAATGGATGATAATACAAAAAACGAAATTTTAACGTTAAATAATCGATAATAATAATAAGAAACGTGATGATTAAGGATATAATCTGAACTCACAAATTTAAGATGGCTTCGTGAGTATTGCAAAAAGAGACCAACCAATATAACGCATATTTGTAAAAAATAACGTTTCCTCATATTTACCTCTTTCTTAATCTAATCTACGTGGAACGCTGCAAATCCGTATGAGACGTCCGCGCATTTCAAGCCACCAGAGTTCGTTTTTTAGCAGTAAACCGCTACTAAAAATTATAGTTTGTCGCGAATTGAACAAGTATCACACACCTTTCTTCGTCGCCAGGAACAAAATGATTTTTATCTACCAACCCGGACAGATGTTGCGAACTCTAACGTCCGTTTCCTCAAACAACCCATATCCCGCGGTTATTTAAAATTTTAACATTTCAATATCGAAATAAACTTAGAAACCAACTTATTTTATCAAATCATTCAATTATATACAAATAAGTTACATTTAAATTTCATCTAATTTATTATACTAAATTAAAATTTAATTATTTATTAATTATTAATTTAATTCATCTTTTCAGTCATAGATGTCACTTAATTTCGACAACTGTCAAAACTCCCGCTTAAGCGATACTTAACCGCAAATTTCTTTTAATAAGAGTTTCTTTTAAATTTCCACCATAAAAATGAGTACATCACAAAAACATCGAAATTTTGTCGTTGAACCCATGCAAGAAAAACCCGTTACAGACCTCGCTGGTGTAGGAGATGTTCTGGGTAGAAGATTAACGGAAGCTGGCTTCGATAAGGTTAAGTTTTTTCTTGATTAATCATTCATATTAATTAACTCATTTTCTTCTATTTTAGGCTTATGTGGTTCTAGGTCAATTTTTGGTATTGAAGAAAAACCAAGAGTTATTCCAAGAATGGATGAAGGAAGTTTGCCAAGCGAACGTCAAACAATCATTGGATTGCTATACTTGTTTGAAAGATTGGTGTGATGAGTTCTTGTAAATAGGAGTTGTTTCGAATGTGCTTAATGCAATCATTATTTTGAATATGTGTAATAATTATGTGAAAACATCTTATTCTCTAACAAATTTGTACTAAAGTTTTTATTTTAAAAGAGTTTTGTAATAACTATATTTAATAAATACCCACGAAATGAAATAATGTAACAAATAATACATAATAATTTATTTTAATAAAGTATTGTTGTAACTTTATTTTTTCTAACTTAATCAAGATTTTGTATAACTTAATTCTTCCATTCAAGTGGTTTATCTTACCTTGGAAAATAATTTCTTTTTGGATCAAAAACAAGCATGCTTTTAAGTTTAACTAAATAGAACTCTCCCAAATAATTTCTATAGTAAGCACAAAACGTAATTATATGATACTTTGAGCCTTGAAGAACTGGCTGCTATAATTACCAATTAAAAAATATTTTTGTATTTTCTTTTCAAAACGGTACTTCGCATATAAATACAGAATTGATGTCTCTTGTTATCACAGCAGTATGGAATAAAAGTCTCAAAGTACAAGAACTCGCCCTAGAAACCAATTAACAACCTCTAAAATAAAGAATTGACGTCTTTTAATTCTGTAGCTCACGCTGCCAACTAGTTGGCAGACTGTAGAACATAGTATAGATGTTATAAAGTACAAGAACTCATATTGCCAATAAGTTGGTAGTCTCTAGAAAGCAGAATTGATGTCTGTTTACAATAATCCATGCTGCTAACAAGTTGGCAGTGTCTAGAATGCAGGATTGATTTCTGCTGATCTTATAACTCATACTTCCAACAAGTTGATAGTCTCTAGAATGCAGGATTGATGTCTATTTACAAGAACTCATGCTGACAAGAAGTTGGCAGACTATAGAATGTAGTATAGATGTTACAAAGTACAAGATTTCATGCTACCAACAAGTTGGCAGTCTCTAAAATACAGGGTTGATCTCTGCTGATCTTATAACTCATGCTTCCAACAAGTTGGTAGTCTCTACAATACAGGATTGATGTCTGTAGACCTCACACCTCATACTGCCAATAAGTTGGCAGTCTTTAGAATGCAGGATTGATGTCCATTTACAATAATCCATGCTGCTAACAAGTTGGCAGTGTCTAGAATGAAGGATTGATCTCTGCTGATCTTATAACTCATGCTTCCAACAAGTTGGTAGTCCCTAGATTACAGGATTGATGTCTATTTACAAGAACTCATGCTGACAACAAGTTGGCAGACTATAGAATATATATAGTATAGATGTTACAAAGTACAAGATTTCATGCTACCAACCAGTTGGCAGTCTCTAGAATACAGGATTGATGTCTGTAGACCTCACAACTCATACTGCCAATAAGTTGGCAGTCTTTAGAATGCAGGATTAAGGTCTGTTAATCTAACAACTCATATTGCCAACAAGTTGGCAGTCTTTAGAATGCGGGATTGATGTCTGTTTACAAGAACTCATGCTGCCAACAAGTTGGCAGACTGTAGAATATAGTATAGATGTTACAAAGTACAAGATTTCATGCTGCCAATAAGTTGGCAGTCTCTAGAATACAGGATTGATCTCTGCTGATCTTATAACTCATGGTTCCAACAAGTTGGTAGTCTCTACAATACAGGATTGATGTCTGTAGACCTCACAACTCATACTGCCAATAAGTTGGCAGTCTTTAGAATGCAGGATTAAGGTCTGTTAATCTAATAACTCATACTGCCAATAAGTTGGCAGTCTTTAGAATGCAGGATTGATGTCTGTTTACAAGAACTCATGCTGACAAGAAGTTGGCAGACTATAGAATGTAGTATAGATGTTACAAAGTACAAGATTTCATGCTACCAACAAGTTGGCAGTCTTTAAAATACAGGATTGATTTCTGCTGATCTTATAACTCATGGTTCCAACAAGTTGGTAGTCTCTACAATACAGGATTGATGTCTGTAGACCTCACAACTTATACTGCCAATAAGTTGGCAGTCTTTAGAATGCAGGATTAAGGTCTGTTAATCTAATAACTCATATTGCCAACAAGTTGGCAGTCTTTAGAATGCGGGATTGATGTCTGTTTACAAGAACTCATGCTGCCAACAAGTTGGCAGACTGTAGAATATAGTATAGATGTTACAAAGTACAAGATTTCATGCTGCCAATAAGTTGGCAGTCTCTAGAATACAGGATTGATCTCTGCTGATCTTATAACTCATGCTTCCAACAAGTTGGTAGTCTCTACAATACAGGATTGATGTCTGTAGACCTCACAACTCATACTGCCAATAAGTTGGCAGTCTTTAGAATGCAGGATTAAGGTCTGTTAATCTAACAACTCATATTGCCAACAAGTTGGCAGTCTTTAGAATGCAGGATTGATGTCTGTTTACAAGAACTCATGCTGCCAACAAGTTGGTAGACTGAAGAATACAGTATAGATGTTACAAAGTACAAGATTTCATGCTGCCAATAAGTTGGCAGTCTCTAGAATACAGGATTGATGTCTGTTAATCTCACAACTCATACTGTCAACAACTTGGCAGTCTATAGAATGAAGGATTGATGTCTGTTTACAAGAACTCATGCTGCCAACAAGTTGGCAATCTCTAGAATACAAGATTGATGTCTGTTAATCCCACAGCTCATGCTGCCAACTAGTTGGTAGATTTTAGAATACAGAACAGAAATGTTAAGGTTGGCAGACTGTAGAATATAGTATAGATGTTACAAAGTACAAGATTTCATGCTGCCAATAAGTTGGCTGTCTCTAGAATACAGGATTGATCTCTGCTGATCTTATAACTCATGCTTCCAACAAGTTGGTAGTCTCTACAATACAGGATTGATGTCTGTAGACCTCACAACTCATACTGCCAATAAGTTGGCAGTCTTTAGAATGCAGGATTAATGTCTGTTAATCTAACAACTCATATTGCCAACAAGTTGGCAGTCTTTAGAATGCAGGATTGATGTCTGTTTACAAGAACTCATGCTGTCAATAAATTGGCAGTCTCTAGAATACAAGATTTATGTCTGTTAATCTCACAACTCATACTGTCAACAAGTTGGCAGTCTTTAGAATGAAGGATTGATGTCTGTTTACAAGAACTCATGCTGCCAACAAGTTGGCAATCTCTAGAGTGCAAGATTGATGTCTGTTAATCCCACAGCTCATGCTGCCAACTAGTTGGTAGATTTTATAATACAGAACAGAAATGTTAAAGTTGGCAACTGCTAGAATGCAAAAATGATGTCAGTAAAATACAGTAAATGTCAAAAAGTGAAGTGTCTGAAGTGATACAGAAATAAAAAAAGAAGATTATGTAAAAGGAAAAAATTAAGTTTCCTCTAATACAACAAATAAAAACTCTCATCATTCTTGTATATAGATATATCTTTACTTTCATTTTTTTTTCATTAATAGGGCGAAGAAATACAGTTTTTTTATAATTCTTTATTTAAAATCTAAAAAAAAACTCATCGCGAGCTTTTTCATTCTATTATTGGAGGTGTGTGATGCATTAAGGTATGTATACAATATAATTTATATATATATTTTTTAATATACTCAGCACTGTATCTTTTTTATTACGTTTTTAACAAAAAAACGACTTAACCAACAATAGTCACAAGGGACCCTCTTTGCATATCTTTTTTTATTAATAATTCAATAACAGTCACAACAAACGAACGAACGCAAAGCACTCGATGCGACGACGCTACTTAATAATAAAAAAAAGTAAACTTTTTAATAATAGCATCGGCGTCTGCTTCCTAGTGTCATTACATTTTTTTTTTAATTTAAAAGCATTCGTTTTTTTTAATCATTATATTTTTTTTTCATCATATTTTTTTTTTCGGATAGAAAAATACACGTTTCCGTAATACCTCTATGTCTCTACGATAATAAATTACATAGTTTAGTCACCCTTCGTTAAACATCACAGACTACAATCATTTTTTTTTTCGCTTAAATTTTGTTAATCGCTAGGGGTTAGTTTAAAAATCAAATTATAATTAAAAAGTTAAAATTTCAAAAAAAATTAATTATAATAAATCGAAGCTAAAACGAACATTTTAAAATAATAACGGTAAAACGGACTATTTTATTTTTATATACGTATATCGCCGTGTATAAAAAAAATAAAAATTAATTAATTAAAAGAAAAAATCGATTATACAACTTAAAATCTAAAACCTGATTTATGTGTTTTTTATCTTTATACAATTAATTAATTAAAGTCGGTGTGATTACTTATTTTTTTATCCCTTACATATTAATTGTACATTTTTAAACATTTTATGTTTTTGCAAATTAATTCATATAAACAAATGTTGCAATTAATGAAAAATTAAAACCAAAAATTTGAATAAAATCCTGCTTAAATATCATACCCTATTTTCTTTTTTCGTCATCATCTAATCATTCCCTACATCTATTATTTTAACTAATATCTATTATTATTATCCATAAAACAATTATTTTTTTTATTACTATGTAGAGGGAGAGAGAGAGAGAGAGAAAAAAAGGTGAGCTTTGCATGCAACAATGTTCTTTTTATCTAACTGTATGTAATGTACTCGTATCTAACCTGTATTATTAATTTATATTTTTAATTATTTGCGGAGATTATTATTTCATATCGACGTGATTCTCATATTGTATAATGCGTTTTGGATTGCACTGATTCATTTGATATATTTTTTTATTAATATTGCGAAATCGTTTTTATTGAGTAATGGTGATTGCGAAATTAACAAAACAAATAGGATTAAAATCAATAAATTATATCTTAAATCTCGATTAAAATGGAATGTTATTATAAAATAGAAAGAAAAATATAATTAAAAAAAATTATTAATTAAAATAATAAAAAAAAACTGGTGTTTCATTAACGCTATAAAAGAAAAAAAAACTTAAAGTACAATTTAATTAAATAAGCTTGGTGCAATGCAGCTTGACAAAAAAAATAAAAACAAAAAACCTATCAGTCAGATCTATACAAATGTAATAATACTGATTTGATAACCTAAATGGGGCGCATTATTTAGTTCTAATTATTTAAATTTTTGTTAATGATCCAAGTAATGATTAAAGGACGGCCCCTTTTTGTCATAAGTAACTCTTTAATTAATTAAAAAAAACTTACACAAGATATCAAATTATACAAGGTGATTATCAACCTATATGTGTAAACTTGATGAAAAAAATTGTAGTAAAAGTCATCAAGGAGATGTTACAAAGTACAAGAACTGCTGCCAATAAGTTGGCAGGCTGTAGAATATAGTATAGATGTTACAAAGTACAAAAACTCATGCTGCCAAATATTTGGCAGACTGTAAAATATAGTATAGATGTTACAAAGTACAAGAACTCAAGCTGCCAACAAGTTGGCAGACTGTAGAATATAGTATGGATGTTACAAAGTATAAGAACTCATGCTGCCAACAAGTTGGCAGTCTCTAGAATGCATGATTGATGTCTGCTTACAAGAACTCATGCAGCCAACAAGTTGCCAGCCTCTAGAATGCGTAATTGATGTCTGTTCACAAGATCTCATGCTGCTAACAAGTTGGCAGACTGTAGAATGTAATATAGATGCTACAAAGTACAAGAATTCATGCTGCCAACAAGTTGGCACTCTCTAGAATACAGGATTAATGTCTGTTGATCTCACAACTCATACTGCCAACAAGTTAGAAGTCTCTAGAATGCGTGATTGATGTCTGTTTACAAGAACTCATGCTTCCAACAAGTTGGCAGTCCTTAGAATGTAGTATTGATGTCTGTTTACAAGAACTCACGCTGCCAATTAATTTGCAGGCTGTAGAATATAGTATAAATGTTACAAAGTACAACAAATTATGCTGCAAACTTGTTGGCAGCCTCTAGAATGCAGGATTGATGTCTGCTGATCTCACAGGTCATGCTGAAAATTAGTTGGCAGACTGTAGAATGTAGTATAGAAGTTATAAAGTACAAGAACTCATGCTGCCAACAATTTGGCAGACTGTAGAATATAGTATAGATGTTACAAAGTACAAGAACTCAAGCTGCCAACAAGTTGGCAGACTGTAGAATACAGTATGGATGTTACAAAGTATAAGAACTCATGCTGCCAACAAGTTGGCAGTTTTTAAAATTCATGATTGATGTCTGCTAACAAGAACTTATGCAGCCAACAAGTTTTCAGCATCTAGAATGCGTGATTGATGTCTGTTCACAAGATCTCATGCAGCTAACAAGTTGGCAGACTGTAGAATGTAATATAGATGCTACAAATTACAAGAACTCATGCTTCCAACAAGTTGGCAGTCTCTAGAATGTAGTATTAATGTCTATTTACAAGAACTCACGCTGCCAATTAATTTGCAGGCTGTAGAATATAGTAAAAATGTTACAAAGTACAAGAAATTATGCTGCAAACTTGTTGGTAGCCTCTACAATGCAGGATTGATGTCTGCTGATCTCACAGGTCATGCTGAAAATTGGTTGGCAGACTGTAGAATATAGTATAGAAGTTACAAAGTACAAGAACTCATACTGCCAACAACATTTTTCGTTGGATGTGCGTTGACATCTAAATAATGTAATTCCCTGAAGATGGATACATTGAGGTTGCGATTGGTCGACCTAAATCCTCATGATTTTTAATTTTGAACTTAATACTGAACAAGAATTGCGAAATCGGATATTTGCTGCTGTTGAGACAATCCGCCAATACTGAAGAAAAAGAAAAATTTACGGAATTACAATTTTTTACATCTATTGGTCATTATTTTTAATTTTTCATCTATATCATGACGAATAAATCCCCAAGTTTATGCGTATAGGTTGAGAATCATCCTGTATATCGTCGGTAGCACAAGAAAAACTCTAAAATACGTAAAATTTTATCGCTACTTATTTTTAATAAATTTTTAGAGATCACAAAGTTGAATTTTAGCTTGGTTATCTCAAAAACGTTTTTTAAGAGTCGTCATTTCAGTAATATTGGTTCAGTTTCAAATCTTGATTCGTATCATAACTCATCTTCATTTACATCAACAGCAATTAACACAATAACTAGCTGTTACTGTACTCAAAATAGTGACGAATGTGATGTTAAAGAAAACGACTACAGACTACAAAGACTCTAATATAAAAACTTTCAGATTAGATTTGCAAACAGTACAGAGTAAAAATGTTTAGGGAAAATTATAATGATATACTGTGATAGTAGTTAGATAAAATATAACAATACTTTTGTGTTTTTTTTTGTGCTACCGATATCTTGGACATATGAATTATTATAACAACATTAACTCAAGAAATATCAAAAAATTTTAATCGATCAAGTTTCCAATTAATGAATAATAAACGTCCCTTTTTTAATAAATTCTTTTCTCTTGATATTTCTAGTGTTAAATAACAATAAAACAACCTGAAAATATTGTTTAAAAAGAATGGCAAGTAACCAATGCGCAAGTCCCGCTTACGCTTTCATTTTGATTCTAGTCTCTCACAATCAAACAAAGACAAATTAATTAATAATACAAAAATTAAAATTTAAAGCCCTGTTATAAATTTCAATTTTAAATTTACCTTTTATCATCCGCTAAAATACTTAAGTACTTCTACGTTTTATTTTATTTTATATTAGTAAATTTTTTTTCACTTAAATCTTATTGTTATGTGATTGATTTCATACTTCTTTGTAAATATTTTGTACGTTTCATACTCTTGTTATTATTTACTTTTTATTTTATTATTTTTTTTTTAGATTTAAAAGATATCTTAATCTTTTTTCTTAATTTTTAATAATTAAAAATTTCTTTTAATTTATTCCCGCCTTGTTCGTTTAGGTCGAACGTTACCATCCTCACCACGACTCTTTTTACCAATTTGCACCTGCGATTGTGCCGTTAAATGCAACGAAATCGCGTGCGTATTTAATTTCTCCGCCAATAACAAACCCTTTAATTCTTTCATTTTTTGACTATGCAAAATAATCGTTGGTTTAGATTTATCGGGAATATCAATTGGTTTTTCTTCTTCTTTTTCGATAATCTCCTTTTTCTCCTGAACTTTTGATGTACTTGGACTCATTCCATTCGTTTTTTCTTCATCACCACCTAACACACATAAATTAATTTTAATAAAATAATCCGCTCCTGGTATTTTAACAAGGAAACACGCGCGTAAATCGTACAGGAATAATAAACGTACAGTTTTGGAAAGATCATCGGACGATATGGAAAAAGAAAAAAAGAGACGTCCTATAAATCAAAAAACTAAGTGTAGAAAGAAGAGGAGACTTTACTGAGGATGCAAGAAGAAAATAGGAGAGTTATAAAGATGGGGACGTGGAATATTACAACTTTAACGGGAAAAGAAAGAGAAATAATGGAGGAGATGTTTGGGATAGAAATAATGGGAATTAGTGAAGCTAAAAAGAAATGAAGGCATACAATTATCAAATAATTGTAGTCAGGAGTCGAAGAAATACGTTTGTGGCAGAAGAAAGGAATGCTAAGAGTAGTATTGATTACATCACATACACCTGGAATCTCCAAAACAAATTCCAGGAGGTAAAGACTGAAGCAGAAAGAGAAATGGGAACCAACCACAGACTAGTCATGTTAACTATTAATAATATAGAAATCGAAAATAATACCAAGAAAAAACAAACAACGAATTTCAATAACTAGAACAAACAGAGAATTTAACACTGGAGGAAAAGTGGAGAATTTTTGAAAAGATAATGTGAAATAAAGCTATGGTAGTGTGTAGAATGAAGAGGTCCGACAGAGCAAATCCGAACGAGCAGAGATATAGCTAAGAATATGGTAAAAGAGGCATAAAAGAAAAGTTGGGAAGAATTAGGAACAAGCTTAAATGAAACATACGGATCAAATAACAGGAAATTCTGGAATAAAATAAGAAAAGTGAAGGGAGATCAAAGGAAACATATAAAAGCCGTTAAAGATAAAAACAACGACGTAAAGACAACTACAAGGAAAATTCTGGACATATGGGCGGATTTTTATGCAGAAAAGTTCAAGGACGGAAAACAGGCACAAACAATGGAGGAGAGAAGAGAAGATCAGATAAGGGAAGACACTACAGACATAGTAACTACTGAAGAGTTAACAATGAAAGAATTAGGAGAAGCAATGATGAAGATGAAAATACACAAGGCTTACAGCAAAGACAAGATAGATCCAGAGATCACAAAATATTTGGCAATAAAAGGAAAGGAGTGGTTTCTAAGTATATATAAAACCGTAATACATAAATAAAAGAAGTTACTTGAACTGTGAAAATTACAGAGCCATATGCCTATCATCTACAAGTTACAAATTGTACACATAGATAATAGAAAAAAGGTTAAGAAGAGTATTGGAAAATAAACTAGAAGATGAACAAGAAAACGAACGAACAATAACATACATGTAATCCGAAATATCATTGAAAGGAAAATAGAGACAAACTAAAACAATTAATGGTACCACAAAAACTAACAAAAATAATTGAAAACCTGTACAAGAAAGTCAAGGACATAGTACAAATGAAGGGAGAAACATCAAAATGAGCAAGGGAATAAAACAAGGCGATATCCTAAGTCCCTTGTTATTTATAATATTAATAGACAGAGTGATAAAAAATACAAAAACAAGAACAAATAAATATCAAACAGTAAGAGGTTATAAAAGTTTGGAACCAGTAAAAATAGATAATTTACTATATGCTGATGACATAGTGCAAAAGGCAAGGAAGTTGGTTGAAATATGGACAGAAGAAATTGAAAAGATGGGCCTAGAATTGAACGTAAATAAATATAAAATCGTGATAATAAATACAAAGGATATAAAAAATAACCAGAAAGAAATAGTTATTAAGGAACAAAAGATAGAAGAAGTATCATCATATGAGTACTTGGGCATTCAGTATCACATGATGGAAGGATAGACTTAGACATAAATGCAAGAATAAGGAATACAAACAACGTATATCATACTCTAAACAAGACAATTTTTGGGAAGAAGGAGATAGATAAAAAAATAAAATTGAAAGTATACAGGGATGGCAAATTTGGGTGTTATTATAGGCTATTTCAGAAACTATAAGAAATACGAAAAAAGTAGGGGAGATCTTCTTTTCAAATTTTCGTGATTTCAAAAAATGCTCATATTTCGTTTATTTTTGAAATTAGAGAAATGGGGTTGATACGTTCTTAAGACACTTTTTTACTTGATGATTTTTGAAATACAACGCAAAGTTGTATTTTTTTAAATACAAACTATAGTTGATGTTATTGAAAAGAGCATATTTATAGCTTTCCAATGATGTATCGAATGTAAACGTTAATTTTCAGTTCTAAAATAGTACCTAAGCGCCAATATTCAAAATTTTGATAAAAATTTGACTTTTTAGCTATAACTTAAAAACAAAAGAAGATAGAGGTTTAGTCTTTGCGGGATTGGATTAGTCTCGAAAAAAGAGACCGGGACATGGGGCCCACTTTTTTTGTATCTCTTATAGTTTCTGAAATTAGTATATTAAAAAACAAGTTTCGGAAGACAAGCTTGAAACCATATATATACTATCTCCTATATCGCTGACTAAGGCAGCAAAAGAGTGTAAACACTAGAGTGCAGATATATATATATCTGTCTCTGTCGTGCCCCCGTCTACACAAGAGACATGCGTGAACACATGGTGAGTACGCTTTTATCTTATTGGACGGCGCATTAAAAATTAATAGCAGCTGATGACCTTGATGTTTATAAAACACCAAATAAATGTTTGACATAAACATAACCTAAAATCTAAATATTTAGTTATGTATATTATAGGTTTCATGTGTATAATAACATAATTATTAACATATTTTAGGACTAAGCAATTTAAAATGTAATTATTATTTGTTAAGAAAGTGAAGAAAATTTGTTAAAAGTAAAGAATATAATGTTTAATGAACAACCTACATAAAGTTGATATTTAAAGCAATATTCAACGTCAATTTCACACAAAAGTACATATTTTCTAATTTATTTGATGCATCTACGATAATTTATAATTAAAGTCAACTATCTACAATAATTGCATTTCAAAGCTGCATAAAATACGTGCGAAACACTTCAAACTCTTTAAAATTTACGATTCGCCTCTTTCCGTCTGCTTTTGATGGAAACGCTCGCCACTCATTGCTTAGATAGGGAGTCAGCGATATAGGAGATAGTATATATATGCTTGAAACGCACGAATTCAAGTTGAAAAACGAGTAACGTGTTTTTTATGCTATTTTTTGTAATTCGCGTTTTCATCCTTTTTTTTAACAAAAATAAAATAAATTTTGACAATGTAGGGAAATAGGTATGCAGCAGTTGGTAACACCGTAACACTTGAAAATCGAAATTTGAATTGACAATTCAAAAGTGTCAAAACACAAAATGTATTCACATGAAAAAAATGTTTCATGTACACCTCCCAAAATAAGAGAAATTACTCAGTGTTCAATGTCCTCATCATTGTGGACCTTGTATTCGATGCTAAGAACGTGTTTAAACATCCATAGACAAAAATTGTCACATTGACAACTATACTCCGTTTTTAAACCAGGAGGAGTATTTTAAATTTGTCACCAGATTGACCTTGCACGTGATTGGTTGAATGCGAGGAAGGTTCACACACAGGCAATTTTGAATTTTGATTTTGAATTTCAGATTGACCTTGCACGTGATTGGTTGAATGCGAGGAAGGTTCGCACACAGGCAATTTTGAATTTGAAGGTTAGGTAATTGATAATTCGACAGTTTCGTGTCATTACTGTATATTTTGTGTTCTTAAACCCTTTTTTATTATATTTTGAAATAAATACACTCATAACTTCAATGTTAATTTGTATGTATAGTGTTGACAAAACAAACGAAAATAAATAAGTAAATAAATAATAATTATTAATTTAAATTTACCGTCAAAATATCTAGTGATATTTTCTGGTGATTTTTTCCAGTGTAAATCTGACTTTCGCGTTTACTCCTCCTGGTTTAAAAATAGAGTATAGTTCTAGTGCAAGTGTTAGTTCTAGTTTTAATTGTTATTCAGCGCTAAGTTGTATATTTTTAAGTTTCGGGTTTAGCCCTGTGTCTTCAGACGCTGAATGTTAGGTAAGGTTAGTTTTGTTTACAAACATTAATTATACCATGAAGTTTTCTTTGGCAATTAGTAATGGCAATTATAGCGTGAAGTTTTCTTTTGTAATGTCAATTATAGCGTGAAGGAATGTGAGGTAAGGTTAGTTTTGTTTACAAACATTAATTATACCATGAAGTTTTCTTTGGCAATTAGTAATGGCAATTATAGCGTGAAGGAATGTTAGGTAAGGTTAGTTTTGTTTACAAACATTAATTATACCTTGAAGTTTTCTTTGGCAATTATACTCTGTTTTTAAACCAGGAGGAGTATTTTAAATTTGTTACCAGATTGACCTTGCGCGTGATTGGTTGAATGCGAGGAAGGTTCGCACACAGGCAATTTTGAATTTGAAGGTTGGCTTATTAGGTTTGTTCCAACCAGCGATTTGACTCGTCGTGGACTCGTCAAATGCAATCACACAGTTAAATAATGCAATGAAATCCGCTGAAATGTGACGATATTGTTATGACGAATAGATCCCCAAGTTTATGCGTACATGTTGAAAATCACCCTGTGTTATAAGAGAACACTAGCAACTAGATAACTTATTTGATCGACTTTGATGATATATTTATAGGCATTTAGCTTATTCATATCAAGGTTGTTTTGATTCGTTTTGGCTTCAATTCTTGGACTTTAACGAGTTTGTTAAAAGAACAAAGAGGGTTGTCACACACATTGTGCAAAAAACGAATATATTAGAATATCCAAGAGATGATTCTTTTTTTTGCAAAGCTTTTATCTGCGTTTCGATTTTTACACCATATCATGTGGAATTCATAATGGATTCTTCTAATTCTTGGGTCTTTCTTGGATTGTCGTCAACCTTCGCCGAATGATCCGTAGCTTCGTCCTGCTACAGCTTTTACAGTCTCTATCTAGTCTCCCATGTCGTGGCTTAGTGTCTCTCTATCCTTGCGGTATCTCTTCAACCTTTTTCATTCATAGACAATCTCATTCCAGACACTATCTCCTCAATATAGACCTATTTTAGCTTTTATAGTATCTTTTCAGTCTCTCTTCTCATCGCATAATATTTTTCTTACCTGCTTGGTGTTTCTTTTGCTTTTACAGTCTCTTGTCAGGCTCCCACTTCGCTGCTCAGTCCCTTTTGAAGTTATTTCATGCATTATCAACTCTCTGCAAGATTTGTTCTCCTCTACCTAAGCCTATTTTTGCTTTAATAGTTCTTTTTCAGTCTCCTGCTTCGCTGCTCGATGTCTTTCATTCATTATTTGCTTTGACAGTCTGTTTTCAGTCTCCCTGCTCGCTGCTCAGTGTCTGTCTTGTTCTTTCAGTATTTCTCGAAGCATTTTCATCTATGACCAGCATCTCTCCAGGCTTCTTCTCCTCTACCTGCACCTACTTTTGCATTTACAGTCCTTTTTAGGCTCCCAATTCGCTGCTCAGTATCTTTTGAAGCTTTTTCATGCATTACCAACCTTTTTGTAAGATTTGCTCTCCTCTACCTGAGCCTATTTTTGCTTTAATAGTCCCTTTTCAGTCTCCTGCTTCGCTGCTCGATGTCTTTCATTCATTATTTGCGTTGACAGCCTGTTTTCAGTCTCCCTGCTCAGTGTCTATCATGTTCTTTCAGTATTTCTCGAAGATTTTTCATCTATTACCAGCATCTTTCCAGGCTTCTTCTCCTCTACCTGGACCTACTTTTGCTTTTACAATCTCTTTTCAGGCTCCCAATTCGCTGCTCAGTATCTTTTGAAGTTATTTCATGCATTGCCAACCCTTTGCAAGATTTGTTCTCCTCTACCTGGGCCTATTTTTGCTTTAATAGTCTTTTTCAGTCCCCTTCTTCGCTCTTCAATGTTTTTCATTCATTATTTGCTTTGACAGTCTGTTTTCAGTCTCCCTGCCCGCTGCTCAGTATCTGTCTTGTTCTCTCAGTATTTCTTGAAGCTTTTTCATCTATTACCAGCATCTCCCCAGACTTCTTCAAGACTTGACATGTACGATTACATTTGACGAGTAACGGACGAGTCCGACCGCTTGTTGGAACAAACCTATTGATAATTCGACAGTTTCGTGTCATTGTTGTAAATTTTGTTTAAACCCTTTTGCGTCTTCAATTTAATTGAGTGAAATCTGTTCTTTTTAGAACATGGTATGGATCGTGACCCTAATAGTCGTTCACAACAAATTTCACAATAATAAGTAAATAAATAAATAATAATAATTATTAATTTAAATTTACCGCCAAAATATCTAGTGACATTTTCTGGTGATTTTTCCTAGTGTAAATCTGACTTTCGCGTTTACTCCTCCTGGTTTAAAAACAGAGTATAGAAAAATTAATGACCCAATGTCACCAACTTGAACTGGTTCCATAAAATGTTACTAAAATCTCATTACAGCATCGGATGCTGTAAGGAGTCTTATTACAGCACCCATTTGAGTACTGTTAGAGCTTTCATTACCGTCGCGAATTACAAAATAGCCTATAACAACATCCAAATTTGCCCACCCTATGCAACTCGGTGGCAGTCCCAATATTAACATATGCCAGTGAATAAGATAAACAAGAAGGAAAGATCACTGCAATGGAAATAAAATTTTTACAGAAAATAGTGGGGAAGGCGAAGTGGGATAGGATAAGGAATGAGGAAATAAGACTGGGAGTAGATAAGAAGAGATGATCAGCAAAATAGAGAGAAAGCATAATGGAACATAGCACAATAGTAAAATGGGGATTTGAAGCAAAGAATAAGGATAAGAAAAAGAAGTTGGGAAAAAGAGAGGGATGACTCCAGCAGATATAAAGGAATTAGCCAGGAACTGGAGGGAGTGGAAGAGGTGGATGGAGAAATAGATGGAAGATAAAATAATTTTAATTAAAATAAAAAAATACCCATAAAAGGTGATCCACCTCCTTGTAATAAATACTCAGGGTTTAAAATTTTTTCTGAACACCCCGCCGTAAGGGCTTCAATACTTGGATGAAGATTTTCTTTAGTTTCTTGATCCCCTGTTTTATTTTTCGGCTCTTCAGATATACAATAATTATTGTTATTAAAACAATTAACACTGTTTCCATTCGTTTTATTAATCGATTTATCTTCATTAACGTGTTCCGCCTCGCAAACAATATTAACTTGAGCTCGAACGTCCGCATCAAATTTCGAAATCGTATTCACTAACGGCTTAGCCCACCCAATGTGTAAAACCGGGGTGGCACTACCTTCCTCCCACTGACAAATTCCATCATAAAAACGTAATAAATTTGCGAAACATTCGGGTTTTTTAAGAATTGTGTTTGCACTAAAACCAGAACTTTCAATTTTCATGATATACGGGATTAATTCGTTGGCTATTTCAAGAAATTCTTTATAAATTTCTTCGTCGTCTCTTGAATAATTGTATCTATAAAACAAAAATTGTTATTAACAAAAAAATTTGGATTAATAATGTTCTTACGATCGAATCACATCGCTACCGTTTGCCCAACTTTCAAAAGCTTCTTTATACATTTTATTACGATAAAAATACCCTCCTTGATACGTATATGGATAAACATGTTGATTATTATAATAAGTTCTAGATGAAAGAATCGCCTCTTGAAATAAAACGCTGCAAGGAACCCTTCCGGGAGTTGGAGCAATTTCCTCCAAGTCACCCAAATTTCCAATCGCCATCGGATATCTACTTAAATGCCCCAAATCGTATAATAACCACAATAATTCTTGTTGAAGAGTTGCAACTTCGCTTGCATCATGTGTTGCATCCAAAGATGGATTTATAGCAGAAACTAAAGCGACTACTTCCATGGCTCTTGTACAAACTACAGGTTTATTATTAACATATAACCAAGATCGTGCTGAGACTCCTTTCCCAATTTCTTGGCCGCGTTTATCTTCATTTCCTTTCCCATGCCAAGTCACCTCAGCTGTTTCAGTACCGTGTTCACCAAAAACAACCCATGCATGATCTTCTGATAAAGCTAAATGGACGTCTGCAAACCCTAATAAAAAAAATAATCAAAAAAATTTGTATTAACATAAAATTTCAAATTTTACCTAACGCTTGACATCCAGCAACTACAGCGAAAGCAACTCCAAAACAATCCAATTTATTACCCGTCATTAAACTATACAAACTCTGCAAATGAGCTCTGTCTTTATAATAACTCCTCGTAAGAGTACTCCAGATGATATCGGATACTTTCTTGATAAGTTCCCTGGTGCACGGTTTATTCTTATGGTCAGATACATCAACTGAACCGTTTAAAACGGCGTGAAATTTATGATAAAGTGTTTCGATGGTTGCAAGTTCAATAATTGGAAGGGACATCTGCTCGGGTACCTGCATGATGCGCGTGGACCGGCACGTGAGGGTGTTCTCGACGGCGCCGGCGATTATCGATAAAAGCGTCAAGTCCGGTTCGAAGTTACTTTCAAGTTGATTTTTGAATATTTCAACGACGGACCCGATACCTTTTAATGGAAATAGGGCTTTGTCGCGCTCGGTAAAGCCCGCCATGTCGGGTATCACATTTTCTGTCAAACGTCAAAAAAAGCGTCGAACAGGTAAGGCCGGTTAGTTACTTTTATATCTTTTAAAACGACGGTTGGTATTAAATTGATATAAAATGACATTTATAAAACGTTGATTGAGGTTATGTTATTAATTACTCTAAAAATAATAAAAACTTAAAGAAATCAAGATATAAAATAGATATTAACTATAAGTACACGAATTAAAGTGGTTATGTCGACCCGAAAATCGTTTACAATTCAAGAAAAAGCTGAAGTTATCAAATTGTTAGAAGCTGGGGAATCAAACGGATCTGTGGCGAAGAAATTTAAGGTAAATTTATGTTTACAATTGAAATAAATAATGATATTTTTGTTTTTATGGTGTGTTATGTATATGTGATGCGGAAAGCCAAAAGGGACCAGTTGTCTAAAAAAAAAATCAAATTTGAGTTATTTTTTCTTAGTGAAGGAGGAAATTATAAATTTTTTTACCCCAAAATAAAGTTGATATATTAAAAAGTATCTTAGTTATACCTAATTTTAGTGTACCAGACAAAGGATGTTTTGAGAGAAATGTATTTAAAGTTTTTGTTCAATCACACTTGCTTTATTTTTTATATTTAAAAAACTAGTAATACATAAAATTAAATAGCAGAAATTCATGTTTTAAAACAACACAATATGATTACATTATGATTTATAACATTGAATCTGTCTATATTAAATGGATTATTTATTGAGGTTCATTAAGATCTTCAACTAGTTCAGGAATGTCAACAGGTGGGCATAGAATGCTCTTTGATTCTTCTTTACAGTACTTCCTTATATTTTTATAAAGATACTGTTTCCTTTCTTTAGTCATTCCTAAAAAAATTTAATTAAAATGGTTATGAGGAGAAAATTTGTTTTTAAATGCTAATTAATTTAACTTACCTGGTGGTGTTATTTCTTTTGGAAATCCTGAGGAACCTGTTCTGATGTGAAAATTGTTTCTATGGATATTAGTTTTGCATAGTACTTTTCCTTTGTTGAACTTCATTGAACTCAAAATCATTGAACTCAAAATAATTGTACTGAGTGATGAGAAGTATTTTCTTGGATTTAAAATCCTTAAAAAAGTTTAGCCAGTCAAATACCTGGATCTTAACATCGCGCTTTTCCAGAGTTTACTTCAGAAGTTGGCCTAAACTGAAATACGCAACCAATCAGTTCTTAGATGTACATTGTTCAGAACTTACCTGGTACCATAATAGAGGTGATAGCACTCCCCTTTGGGGTCATCCTCTTAGCGCCTTTATAGTCAGCGACTCGCCTCCCAGACTGGCTATGATCTGCCGACTTTTCAACATGGTTATACATCATTTTATTGTCTTTTTTATTATCTTTTACGTTTAGAGCCTTCTCTTTGGGTTCATAGGAGGTGTTATCAAACGCACCCTCTATGTCTATGAAAGCACATAAGGCTATCTCTTTGGTTGCAATTGCCTCCTCTCAAGTGCTAGTCAAAGCATGGAGAGTAGTAATTGTTAATTTTGCTTTCTGGTAAGCATGTTGGCTAGGCTGGAGAGGATTAGTGACAAGCACTCGATTCCTAAGGTATTGATCGATTACCTTTTCCATCCCTTTGAGGAGAAATGAAGTTAGGCTAATTGGTCTGTATGCCTTGGGGTCGGCAAGCTTTGAACCTTTAATAGAGCTTACACTTTCTGGGATTAGGTAGTTTGCCTGTTTATTAGTTGCTTCACACATAACCCTCCAAAATTCTGATCTTAAACAGCACCAAAAAATAAATTGGGCCAGGTTGTAAGAGGTTGCTGGGAACGTGAACTTGTTGGGCCATATCGAAACTGTAAAGGGCACTTGTCTCATGCGGCTTATCAAGACAGTCTGTGGTCGTTTTTATTGTATTTTTCTAAAACATTGGCTATTTTCTCTTTTTCACTTGCAACCACCATAACAGCCCCAGAAGTATAATGTTTTAGGCAAAAGGAGCACAGGCCTGAGTTTGGTCTCATGATGACAATGGTGGAGCATGTTTCTCGCCAAATGTTTGTGAACACAGTCAATGATACAGATTTTTTCTTGCTATCACTAGAAGGCAACAGTTTTAGATTGGTGTTATATACAATACTACTTCTGCCTGGCAGATAAATCGCATGTTGCTCAGCATAATTGTTCAGGATCTTCATAACGTACTTTCTGTCAGTAACTGAAGTAGCATTCTTATCAATTTTGTTGCAGCCTTTGCAACAAATTCACATCATTATACATTTTCAAAATTCGTTTTCAACTCTTTGTTTTGATTTGGTGACAAAACATGTAAGTATCCCTACAGACCTGCTGACCTTTGATTAAATAAGTGTTTTGTAGTTGTTTTCTGACAACATTTTTCTTCATTTTTCAAACATCGCAGTTGGCCCAATATTAGTTGATCCAATATGTTTACGTTATTCCAGTATGGCCGATTTCAGCAGCTTCAAGAGTTGTACACTTAGCACCCTTTCTCCAAAAAATCTACAATTAGCTGGCGGTCATTTTCACTGGCAAAGCTGCCTAAATTATCATTAACTTTTTCTAAAGCTACTATTTCGAGACCTTCGTCATTTTCATCAACTATTTCTAGGTCATTTTGATTTGCTTCAATTTCTATTTCAACATTTTCTTCAACAATGACGACATTCCTTCGTCATTACCGAAATCCGCAGAATCCAACGTCGGTACTTGATCAAGAAAGTCATCTGTCAGTAGGCCTTGGCCAACATCTTGGTCAGCATTGATTTGTCACTATTTCCTGATCGCACATCAAAATAATCATGATAAGCTTTAAAATCTTCCTCATTTTGTGCTTCTTTCAGTCGTACTGAAAATTTTACTCGGCCGACAACTGGTCCCTTTTCGATTTCCGCATCATATATACTTAAAAATATAGTGTGTCCATAAAGTCATGGTGCACTTTTCAACAGTTCACAGGAAAGCAACATAGAATTGCGAAATCTTCATCAATTAAAAGAAAAACTCTCCAAGTCGCGTGTACAACGAAGCACCGCCACATAAGAATAAGAATAGTTTGTTGTTCTTGTAGGCCATCACTAAGTGTTGAGTCATTAAAGGAAAGCTACCTAAGGAATCCTCAAACATCTATGATTCATAAATACACTCAACAGGTATGAAACTAGGAGATCTATTTTCCTTTATTGCTTTCCTGTGACTGATTATGACTTTATAGACACCTATAAAATGAAAAAAATTAAAAAAAAAAAATTTAATTTGAAGTAAATCCAAAAAATGACGTCAGTAACGGACCTGTGTCACTCTCAATCAGCTGTTGTTGTGTTCATTGTGTGCTTTTAGGTAAATTGCAGATATATTTATCCTTCTTTTTAAAGTAAGTTTATTTTGGAATGACTTTAAGCTAATATTTACCACAAGTACGTTTTATTAATTAAACTTTACATTTATGTGCTTATAATCAATATACTTATAGTGCCAGGCCGGAATTGCGCCGTTTCAACCTGTAAGAACAGTTATATGAAAAGTAAGAAGGAAGGAAAATCAATAATTTATCATAGTTTTCCAAAAGATCAAAAAATGCAAAAATTGTGGGCTAAAAAAACCGGATGTACTAATGAACGGAACTTCAAGAATTGCCAGATTTGTTCCGATCATTTCTGCGAAGACGATTACGAGAGGGATTTGAGAAATGAATTATTAGGTATCGATTAAATTGATTAACCCTTTTAGTGCCGGGCGAAAAACTATATGTATATAATTCAAAAAGCAGTGTATTAAGGATGACAAAATGATGACACAAATTTTTCTATATTCATTGAAAATTATATAAATAGGAAAGGTATAAAAGATAATAAAAAAAGTAAAAGTTGAGTTCTCTCTTACAAAACGTATTTGTAAATATGAAAAGTCATCTTTACATCATAATTTTATATAAATCATTTATTACAAAGTATATACTTTGAATTTCCAATATATTTTGTAACAAAATAAATAATATTGCATGAGAAAAATAAAGAATAACTTCAAGGTACTTACATGATAAGTAACATTTCTGGGGTTCTGGCCAAAATAAAAATTTAAGAATTCAGACTCAAGTATTATCAATTGCGTTCTCTTCGACTAAAATATTTTCAGATTTCCAGCACTTCCGGTTATACCGGAAGTGCCGCCACCTACTTTATTTTTTTAAATGGAACACCTGTATATTTTTACATATTTAGATTTGTCTGTTTTCATGGTTTATAAATAACATTACTTTTTGCAATTTGATTCGGCCGTTCTCGAGTTATTCGAATTTTTCTAGAAAAATCTGCTCCAGCAGACATTTATTCAAAAAATCAGAGAACAGTCGATTTTTGGGATATCAATTTAGGATTCAGAACATGCTTAAGCAACATGATGGAGTATGTTTTGGTGCCGTGAACGGCTGTCTAGAACGTTTGGTCACTTTGCTATGGCACGTTAAGTTTTCGAAATTTGGAACTATTACAACTTCTTTTTTTAAATGACACCCCCATATTTTATTACTTAGTCGTCTTCGGTGTCTCATTCTACATCTTTTATATCCCATATGTCCCATACCTAACATTAATAGTTTGGGAGATAATTAGGGTTTTTTGAAAAATGCACACATATATGGATATTTAGCCTAGTGTGCCAACCCCAGAAACGTCTAATGACCGGTCTCGCTGAGACACCCTGTATATTTGTGTTATAATTTTGCATAATACTTCATTATAATAACATAAATGTTTATATTTAGATATTGTAATGTGTAATATGCAATCCTTTATTGCACCTATTGCAAATTGTGCATGATTTTCGTTTTGGTCCACCATCCTTTATGCTGGTGGATGTTTCAGCCAATTTTTACTGTCATCCATTCTCTGGTTATCGACTGAATAATATCGATTATAAATTCGAGTCGTGTTTAGATTCTGCCTTCTGTATTTTGCTAATACAAGATGTAAGAACCATTCGGGAGAAAATGGCGAAAACTACTTTTTTGTAATTCGCGACGGTAATGAAAGCTATTACAGTACTCAAACGGGTGCTGTAATGAGACTCCTTACAGCATCCGATGCTGTAATGAGATTTTAGTAACATTTTATGGAACCAGTTCAAGTTGGTGACATTGGGTCATTAATTTTTCTAGTTGTCAATGTGACAATTTTTGTCTATAGTTCGTTTTTTTCCTATAATACTTGTCAATGTAAATTATTTAGGGTTTCTGTTGGTATTATCTAGGACCCTTATAAAATTTATGTTGTTTTCATGATTTTTAGTAACATTAACACTAATTAGTTACTGACATAATTAGTTGAGGTTAAAATACTAATAAATTTTTAGATAAATACGATTTTGACGAAGTACATATTTGTTATAAAAACGTGCTACAAAGTAATTAAATAGAATAAAATACCTTTTCTAGGTAAGTAAATGGCAAATAAACACCCCACAACACTTTTTATGCGCCTTTTCTTTTTGAATAACGAAAGCTCAAACGTCAATGTGACATATTTACTTCAAAACATGATAAAACAAAACTCCCTGTTAATTTTGCCAACTTTACAACAATTTGACAGGTATTATAGAAAAAAAATGAACTATATGGATGTTTAAACACGTTCTTAGCATCGAATACAAAGTCAACAATGATGAGGACATTGACTCTGAGCAATTTCTCTTATTTTGGGAGGTGTACATCAAACATTTTTTTCAGGTGAATATATTTTGTGTTTTGACAGTTTCTAATTGTCAATTCAAAGTTTCTATTTTCAAGTGTTACCAACTGCTACATACCTATTTCCCTACATTGCCAAAATTTACTTTATTTTTGTTAAAAAAAAAGTATAAAAACGCGAATTACAAAAAATAGCATAAAAAAACACGTTTCATAAGACTTAAAGCACTCATTCATTAACTTGAATTCAACTTGAATTCGTGCATTTCAAGCGTGTCTTACGAAACTTGTTTTTTAATATACTATTTTCCAATATTTGAGAGTTCTTCTTTCATCCAAATAGGAATATAACATCATGCCAGATGTGTCTACACTTCCCATATGTTTATTATATTCAATCATAATAGCTGAGTGTTTTATTGAGCCTTTTTCTATGTGGACAAGTTGTTTCGGGCGCCCTCTTGCAATTTCTGCTTCATAAACGGTGGAACATAATATTTTCTATTACTACGGATTGTGCCAGTCAATTATGTCTGTTTTTCGAACTATGATCTTGCTACTAAGAGGCTTGTAAATAAAGTGTCGGCTTCCACGTGATACCCTTTCATAAGATAATTGCCCATATTCAATAATTTATGCACTTCGATGTAGTTAAGATCGTTTTCTCTTAACTGCATCAGTCAACATCCAAAATTTTATGCCCCATTTATGATACTTTTTATTTGGAAGATATTGACTCAACGACGTTCTACATTTCGTGCCAACTAACGATTTCAATACTCAAATGTTGATGATTCGAATAAATGATATTTGAATTTATTATTTACGTGGGTTAGAACTGGTTCAAATTTTGCTATAGAGTCATATCCTGGGCTATCACGTATTGCTAATTCGTGATTGTCTACGACATGGAAAAACCTGCAAATTAATTGAAACCTATTTCGGCTAAACATTTGGCCAAACCATGGTTTGTTGACCAATAACTGAAAAGTGTCGGGCTACGTGCGATTCCTATTTTTAATTGAACCACAATAAAAGCCCTCATTTCTGACACTTTGGTTGTCTTCTGATTTGTTTCACTCTTCAATAAGCTCTTTTTTGATGGCATAAGTTTAGGCCTATCAGCCTTCGGTACTAAAAGGGTTCAAATTGATTACAATAAAAGATTTTATTTATCATTTAGGAATCCCTCCACGAAAAGTTTTAAAAAAGACAGCTGTACCATCACTCAGATTAGAAAATACGAATCAAGCAGAGGTGGAATACGCAATTACAAAAAGAAAAAAGCCACAACATGAATTTGATGACCAGGTTAAGTATTTAATATTTAGAATAAATCAAATACGCTTAAAAAACACTAATTGATAAATATTTTTATAATAAAGTTTTATTCAATACAAGATCTGCCTTTTATATTACATTTTGATACCATGGTTTAATTAAAACTTTGTAATTATCCCATTTTAATCATAAAATAATAATAAAGTTTTATTATTTGTTTAGATGTCTTCATCGACAATTTCAACGATATGGAAAAGTCGCGATACTGTAAAACAAGTTTTTGAAAATAGCCCAGCCGCAAAAAGATTACGTCCTTGCAATGAAGTCTTAATAGATAAAGCTTTATTAAAATGGTTAAAAGCTCAAATGAGTAACGATATTGAAGTAACCACAACCGCTTTGCAAGAGAAAGCAAAAGAATGCGCTTTAGAAGTAGGAGTCACCGATTTTCAATGCACCGGTAGTTGGATTCAACGTTTTCGTAAAAGATACAAAAATATTTGCGGCAAAAAAAGCGAAATCGTGGATGTACCACAAGAATTAAGCGTTAATTGGTTATCAACAGTTTGGCCAAGTTTAAGAAAATCCTACTTAGACGATGAAATTTACAACGCGGTTGAGGCAAGTTGTTTTTATGGATTTTCTTCAAATAGATCCTTTGTAACGAATGAAATTAATCCGCAAATTCGTCGCGATTTTTCAAAGGAGCGCTTAACCATTTTAGTAGCAGCTAATATGACGGGGACAGATAAATTGAAACCTTTTGTTATTGGAAAATGTAAAGAATGTTTTTTTAACTCTTTACTCGTTGATTATGAATATCATCCGAAAGGATCGATTAATTCAAATATATTTGAGAGAATAATAAAAAAATGGGACGATAATTTTTATCAGCAAAAAAAGAAAATACTTTTACTTCTTGATAAATCCTCAATGCGTTTGATGTTGGACGATTTAGAAGCGATTGAAGTTGTATTTCTCCCCACAAATATAAAATCACCTTTCAAAACGGGCAAAAAATCATCAGAATCAGTTATAATAACCGTAAGAAATGATTTTAGATCATTAGAAATCAAAAAATTTCTCGAAAATATAGACAATTCAGATACTCCAAAGCAAATAAATATCGTTGAAGCTTGCGATATGATTTCAACGGCTTGGAATAACATTTCCCAAAGCTCCATATCAAACAGTTTCATCACCGGCGGTTTTAATGTTGACGCAAAATTTCAAGAATGTTCCAATGAGCCTTTACCCATAGAAGTGTGTCTTACTCCTTCGATAAAAGAAGAATTTATGGAGGAAGATAACGAAATTAAGATCAAAGAGGAAAATGAAATAAGTATAACTGAAAATCAAATTATACCAGGGAATAGTATCAAAATTAAAGATGAGGTTGATTCGGAAATTGTTCCACCAACGCTCGAAGATGCAGCTTTTGCAATTCAAACTTTAAGAAACTTTTTTACGTTTAATCAAGGATCTGATTATGACAGAACAACGAGTGCAATTTCTTATTTAGAAAATTTAATTGAAGATTCAAAAGTATTAAATAAAATGTAATTAATAAGATTATTTTTCTATATATTTTTTTTAATTTTACCCCGTTATGATTATAGTCCTCAAATGACATCCATTCTGTGCGAATTTGCTTTATTCTGGTACTACATCTTGCACATTTTCTTCGCGTACTGTATTTAGGTTGGTAAACGGAATTTGTGGTTCTAATTTCTTTTGAAACCGTTCGTTTATGGACGCTTTAACAAAACTAACGTTTCTGCCAGTAATCCGTCAATCACTTGCTTTCGAAAATCTTTATGCTTTATGGAATTGCCTAAAAGTTTATAGACAATAAAAGAATTCTCTTCACTGGCATCTAAACAATAAAAGAATATACGATGCCACAATTTCTGATTGGTCAAACTTATGCACATAAAATGTGGTTTCGTTATAATCTATAATAGTGATTTTTCAAAACGGCTTTTTGCATTAAAAAGAGGATACTTTAATTAATAATTGGTGATATTTCCACAAGGATCCTTCAAAAAATTAATTTTATAGCGAATTTTGAAAATTATCGATGAAAATTGCAACATCGAAAATTTTATCAAAACTTCAAATATTGTTTTCTCAAAAACTAAAAGTTATTTTTCAAAACGTGTTGGTTCATTGGAAAGAAGACACTTTTATTAACACTTTGGGAAATTTTCATACTCATATTCCAAGAAATGGATTTTATACGAATTTTTAAAACTTAATCGGCGAAAATTGCAAAATTCGAAAAAATTGTCGATCATTTCAAAAATTTATTTCTCAAGAACTGAAAGTGATTTTTCAAAACGGCTTTTTGCATTAAAAAGAGGATACTTTAATTAATAATTGGTGATATTTCCACAAGGATCCTTCAAGAAATTAATTTTATAGCGAATTTTGAAAATTATCGATGAAAATTGCAACATCGAAAATTTTATCAAAACTTCAAATATTGTTTTCTCAAAAACTAAAAGTTATTTTTCAAAACGGGTTGGTTCATTGGAAAGAGGACACTTTTATTAACACTTTGGGAAATTTTCATACTCATATTCCAAGAAATGGATTTTATACGAATTTTTAAAACTTAATCGGCGAAAATTGCAAAATTCGAAAAAATTGTCGATCATTTCAAAAATTTATTTCTCAAGAACTAAAAGTGATTTTTCAAAACGGCTTTTTGCATTAAAAAGAGGATACTTTAATTAATAATTGGTGATATTTCCACAAGGATCCTTCAAGAAATTAATTTTATAGCGAATTTTGAAAATTATCGATGAAAATTGCAACATCGAAAATTTTATCAAAACTTCAAATATTGTTTTCTCAAAAACTAAAAGTTATTTTTCAAAACGGGTTGGTTCATTGGAAAGAGGACACTTTTATTAACACTTTGGGAAATTTTCATACTCATATTCCAAGAAATGGATTTTATACGAATTTTTAAAACTTAATCGGCGAAAATTGCAAAATTCGAAAAAATTGTCGATCATTTCAAAAATTTATTTCTCAAGAACTAAAAGTGATTTTTCAAAACGGCTTTTTGCATTAAAAAGAGGATACTTTAATTAATAATTGGTGATATTTCCACAAGGATCCTTCAAGAAATTAATTTTATAGCGAATTTTGAAAATTATCGATGAAAATTGCAACATCGAAAATTTTATCAAAACTTCAAATATTGTTTTCTCAAAAACTAAAAGTTATTTTTCAAAACGGGTTGGTTCATTGGAAAGAGGACACTTTTATTAACACTTTGGGAAATTTTCATACTCATATTCCAAGAAATGGATTTTATACGAATTTTTAAAACTTAATCGGCGAAAATTGCAAAATTCGAAAAAATTGTCGATCATTTCAAAAATTTATTTCTCAAGAACTAAAAGTGATTTTTCAAAACGGCTTTTTGCATTAAAAAGAGGATACTTTAATTAATAATTGGTGATATTTCCACAAGGATCCTTCAAGAAATTAATTTTATAGCGAATTTTGAAAATTATCGATGAAAATTGCAACATCGAAAATTTTATCAAAACTTCAAATATTGTTTTCTCAAAAACTAAAAGTTATTTTTCAAAACGGGTTGGTTCATTGGAAAGAGGACACTTTTATTAACACTTTGGGAAATTTTCATACTCATATTCCAAGAAATGGATTTTATACGAATTTTTAAAACTTAATCGGCGAAAATTGCAAAATTCGAAAAAATTTACGATCATTTCAAAAATTTATTTCTCAAGAACTGAAAGTGATTTTTCAAAACGGCTTTTTGCATTAAAAAGAGGATACTTTAATTAATAATTGGTGATATTTCCACAAGGGTCCCTCGAGAAATTAATTTTATAGCGAATTTTGAAAATTATCGATCAAAATTGGAACATGGAAAATTTTATTAAAACTTCAAATATTGTTTTCTCAAAAACTAAAAGTTATTTTTCAAAACGGGTTGGTTCATTGGAAAGAGGACACTTTTATTAACACTTTGGGAAATTTTCATACTCATATTCCAATAAATCGATTTTATACGAATTTTTAAAACTTAATCGGTGAAAATTGCAAAATTCGAAAAAATTATCGATTATTTCAAAAATTTATTTTTTATTTTTTTGGTTTCTGCGCACATTTTGCATTTTGGCTTCTTTTATCCCTCCATTTGAATCAACATCGCCTTATTTCATATCTATATCATGTCTCATTTGTAGTATACACTTTCTTGTATTATTTATTATACCACAAAAACACACTTTTTATCTCCTAATGTCCAAACTTTGTAGCCTCTTTTTATAGGTTTTTTTTTGCATCATTGTTTTATATTGCTTTTACCCTTGGATTTGATCATCGATTCATCGATAGCCAAAAATTCATCCAGATTCAAACATTTTTGAAAATTGTACACCAAGTCATTTAGAAACGCACATACTTTGTATAATTTGTCGAAATCAGGTGAATTTAGATTTGGGAGGAGAGTAAAATCGTTAAATCGATTCACTGGCATGAATTAACTAAGGTAACTATCATGTAGGGCAGAACTTAATCTTCAAAAATCTGTACAGCTAGATAACTGTTTTATTCCCATTAGAAGATTTAATCCTAAAAATATTTTGATTTCTGTACTATTTGTACACTTGAACGATTTTTCAGGTGTTGGGTTTGTAATTTCTTTGACAATATCCGTTATTCCAACTATTTTCATAAAATCATTAAGATCCAAATCAATAGATATGTCGTGCCAGTATGGACTTGGTTGAGTTTTTTGAACATTACTCTTAAAGCAAGAGGGTATGTTTTTATAAATAACCAAATGTTTCTCGTTCTAGGTCTAATGTTAGTTCTAGTTTTACACTAGTACTGTTGCTAGAACTAACACTGTACCTAGAACTAGAATCATTTGGGTTTAGCCGTCTTGAGAGATGTGCGGCTAAATCCAATTGATTCTAGTTCTAATGTTAGTTCTAGTTTTACACTAGTACTGTTGCTAGAACTAACACTGTACCTAGACAAATGTTTAGTGATTATGCAAGTGTAAAACTAGAACTAACCGTTTAGCCGTGCGTTTGAAGAATCAAAAGTATTAAATAAAATTGTTTAAAATTTTTTTATTCATACTTAAAAAATATGAAACAACAAATAACTTATTATTTAAGAAACCTAAACGAACAAATTACTTATTGAATAAAGATTGTATTTTTAAGAAAGAGAAATAAAAAGAAAACACCTAAAGAAAAATTAAATACTATTTCCTAACATTATCAGGAACGTAATTGTCCTTATTTGGTATTCCCGTACCAGCGGCATCGCCCAACCACGGATATTGATTGGGGCATTCCGCGCAAGTTTCCAAATATCTCGTATCGGTGAAGTTAGAATCGGCTTTTCGGAAAGGTAATGCGCATTTACTTGCGTTGTTGCACCCTTTCGGGGGATAATTATTATTCTTTTTGCAATCCCAAGGTTCGTAATTATTGCCTTTAATCTTTTGGGGTTCTCTAACCCATTCTAAAGCTTGCGATACAGTTACAAACCAAACGTTATCTCTAAAAAAAAATAAATAAATTAAAAATTAAGCATTTATAAAAAAAAATGATTCAAACTCACAAAGTTGTAACCCAATCCAAAAATTTATGTAATCCTTGTTCTAATTCTTTAATCGAAAACCAATTGGTGTGGAACGGCATCATATAAGGCGCTTTATTTTGATCGTAATATCTACTAAAATCTTCTTGAAGCCATTCCAAGACGTCATCGGCGTCGTGATTGTGAAGAACGCATTGATCTAAATAAGGGCAATGTCCGCCTTCGTAATCTTCAACGTAATGAGCGTTTAACGGTACTTCCCAGATACCTGAAAAACTATGATTTTGAGCATTTTAATTAATAAAATGTGACGATGTGGGATGTTGAACCTGGGTATGTTTTAGATGGGCAAGTTCCCGATTTACATTCATGTGGGATTTTATAATCTAAAGTGTAAGGCCAAACTGGTACGGGAGATGGTGGAACACCTATTGAGCTATCATAAACATAACCAAAGTCTTCAAGAACCTAAAAATTAAAAAAAAATGATTTTGAGATTATTTTGATTTAAATTAATTTACTTTATATTGAGTGTTTCTCCCCGGTTTTAAAAACGGGGCTCTCATCCCGATTACATCAGCTGTTGAAACATTAGAAAAGTGTTTTAAAATTTCTCTCATCCCAATCATTTCTCCAACCCATTCTTCGTAACCTTTATCTTGTAACCCTTGTTGCAATCTAAAAAAAATTAATTAATACAATTATTAATAAATAATTTTTAATAACACACGAAATTGTTTCAGTTGCTATTTCATGTCCTTCACTGGCTAGTTCTTGTATCATATGATAATTACTGTATTCGTGGGAGATAAAGAATGTTCCTTTTATCGCGCAACCATTAGGATTAAATCGCTTCTTATTAAAAACTTTTCTGTAATGATCGTAATTGTTTAAGTTAACCGCTCCGTCGAATGTCAATAGGATCATTTGTGGTGTCTAAAAACTTAATGTTACTTTAATCGTCCCTTTCCTCACTTTTAAAAAAATAAATTCAAAAAAAACATACATCTTCAGCATCGAAACCTCCCGGAATGATCGTTCCATCTTTTGAACAGAAACAATATGGTAATTGGCATTCGGATAAATCACATTTTGTGGCTAAATCGGTGGGTGGTTCTGTTATAGGTGCTGGAGCTGTTAATATAAAAAAATTAAGATCAGTTAAAAAATACGGGGAAAGAATTATTTACTTGTAGCAATTGGCCCGCATCTTGCTTCATTTTTAAAAGTACAAAATTTGCTTATATCATCGAAATAAAGTCCTGATGGGCATCTATTTACGTAAGGATAACCATCGACGCATTGATAAAATCTTCTACATGTTTGGGGATCTGCAAAATTTCCATTTCCTACGCCTTGAGGACATTCAAATTCTTTTTGTTCTTGTTTTTCAGGTTCTTTTCTTTGGCAATGTACTGAAAAATAAATATATCTTTATGTAATGATGCAAAATATTCAACACTCCTATAAGAAGACATGATGTATCATCAATCCGCCGAGGTCGCAATAATAAATTCGTCAGGTTTGGAAGGTTGTAGCGCCTCGCCCGCAAACGACCTTGGCGATTTGACACAAAATCACTTTTTATACATCTTGCTAAAGATTCATTTCTTATGATAAGATATTAACAGTCACTCCGCCGAGGTTGCTTGCGGGCGAGGCACTGGATTTGATATATCAACACGAAATCATAAGCTTTAAAACATTCTAGCGTCTCGCCCGCAAGTGACCTCGGCGATTTGAGCCAAAATCACTCTTTATACATCTTTGTGTAAAGATTTAACACTCTTATAAAACGACATTTACTTTCACTCCGCCGAGGTCGCTTGCGGGCGAGGCGCGAAATATATCAACACGAAATCATAAGCTTTAAGTGAGAGTAAATGTTTTCTTATAAGAGTAATGAGTACTTTACATCTTTACACCACGATATACAGTGTGTCCCAGGATAGATGTTACAAGAGGTATAATGACTTAAAAAACTTTGAATTTTATTTTAAGGCTGAGGAATTAAGACCTGCTTGGTGTGGAGAGAATTTTAAGTATATTTTCATATTTTGAAAATCAACTCGGCCTTGATAGTGAAGCGAAAACTATTTTTAGTTCAGGTAAAGTAAGCTTTTTGTTCCTGATACGGCAAAATATCATTAAGAAAAGTTGTTCAGAAGGGGAAAGAAGGGGGCTCTTGTAACATCTATCCTGGGACACACTGTATAAAGAGTGACTTTGACACTGAGACATTGATTATTCGATTATTAAATTCGTTATTTTTTTTTAATTACAAAAATATGGGGTTAGATAGGTTTATTTCTTATTGTTTTAGAATAAAGCTAAAAATAAACTTTTTTTTAGTGTCGTCAAAGAAATTAAGTTTACAGTTTCCTGTAAATCACGGTACTATAACTAACAATTATTCTACTAAAAATTTATATAAAATTTACTTTATTTTCTAATATGTAACACTCTAACATGTTAAACTTTTCGTAATTTTCATAATCCAGCTTAAAAAACAGGATTTTAATTTGACACTTTAGAAAATTTTTCAATACAAACAAATGTTGCTATGTTTATTTGAATTAAATAAAAAATATATGAGCGCCATCTATCAATAATTTATCAAGACATTTAATAATATTATTAAATATTAATAAAAAATGTGAAATAATGCAATCTATTCCAATTTTTGTATAAAACAAATATAAATTAAATAGTTCAACAAATGTATTTGTTTCAAATATCAAAAATATGTTTTTTTTAATTTTTAGTTATAATTTACAGGAAACTGTAAATTCAATTTCTTTAACGACACTAAAAAAAAGTTTATTTTAAGCTTTATTCTAAAACGCTAAGAAATAGACGTGTATTTTTGTAATCAGAAAAAAATAACGAATTTAATAAGTGAATAATCAGTGGTTATTTCCATTTAAAAAAACGAAAATTGTCATGATATCTCAAAATCTAAAACCGAAAATATTTATTGACTACGTCATGTCCATATAATGTTTTAGTTATAATACTCCACCTATAATAATAACCAAGATAATTGGACTTGTTGGTTTTACGATATTTTCAGTGTGCTGTATAAGGAACATTTTTCTTTTCTTTCAACTCACTTTACAGTTTCCTTTTTAGTTACAACTTATGTACTAAAATCAACATTTCAAATTCTGAAGCTATTGTATCTTCCATTTTTAAACAAAGTTACTTTAATTAGTGAAAATTGAAAATGAAAAGTGACCGCATTTTTAAGTCATTATACCTCTTGTAACATCTATCCTGGGACACACTGTATAAAGAGTGACACTGAGACATTGATAATTCGATTATTAAATTCGTTATTTTTTTTATTACAAAAATATGGGGTTAGATAGGTCTATTTCTTATTGTTTTAGAATAAAGCTAAAAATAAACTTTTTTAGTGTCATCAAAGAAATTAAGTTTACAGTTTCCTGTAAATCACGGTACTGTAACTAACAATTATTCTACTAAAAATTTATATAAAATTTACTTTATTTTCTAATATGTAACATTCTAACATGTTAAACTTTTCGTAATTTTCATAATCCAGCTTAAAAAACAGGATTTTTAATTTGACACTTTAGAAAATTTTTCGAATTAAATAAAATAAAGCGCCATCTATCAATAATTTATCAAGTCATTTAATAATAATTAATAAAAAATGTGAAATAATGCAATCTATTCCATCTTTTGTGTAAAACAAATATAAATTAAATAGTTCAACAAATGTATTTGTTTCAAATATCAAAAATATGTTTTTTTTTAATTTTTAGTTATAATTTACAGGAAACTGTAAATTCAATTTCTTTAACTACACTAAAAAAAGTTTATTTTAAGCTTTATTCTAAAACACTAAGAAATAGACGTGTATTTTTGTAATCAGAAAAAAATAACGAATTTAATAAGCGAATAATCAGTGGTTATTTCCATTTAAAAAAACGAAAATTGTCATGATATCTCAAAATCTAAAACCGAAAATATTTATTGACTACGTCATGTCCATATAATGTTTTAGTTATAATACTCCACCTATAATAATAACCAAGATAATTGTACTTGTTGGTTTTACGATATTTTCAGTGTGCTGTATAAGGAACATTTTTCTTTTCTTTCAACTCACTTTACAGTTTCCTTTTTAGTTACATCTTATGTACTAAAATAAACATTTCAAATTCTGAAGCTATTGTATCTTCCATTTTTAAACAAAGTTACTTTAATTAGTGAAAATTGAAAATGAAAAGTGACCGCATTCTTTTCCGCCGTATTTGAACGATGGAAAAGCAGAAAATAATAGAAAGCAAGACGAACGAATTTTCAAATAAAGAATTTTTTGTGTAGATATAAATCTTGGAATGTTTATTTACGTGTTAACTTCTCTTTGGTTAGGTAAGGAACGTGTTATACATACATAATGGAACTAGAAGTCGCACCTTGGCATGTAAAGTATTTTAAATATAAAACAAGGTTAGACACTGCGATAGCAATGACCTCTACCGGTTTGCACTTTATATATATATTGAAAACGTCGCTTTTAAATCGAATTCAAAACGAAAAACAAGTCAGATCGTTACTACTTTCTACTGCAACCTCGTTTCATTGCCGGTACTTTTCAAGGTCCTCATATGAAAAAAGTTTTTAATCACAATCATCGTTATTATGTTTTAATGACATATTCTACGCCATTTTTCTTTTTATTTCGAAATTTGATTTAAGTTAAAACTTTTTTAACCCGCTTGACCAGTTTTAATAAAGTTTTTATTTATATACACCATCACTTTTCCCAAATTACAAGGTTATTCTGCGGCTTTAATATTAATTCCAAACATTTCATAATCAACCTAACACACTAACTCGTAAATAAAAGAACGTTTTTAATTAACAACTTTTTAAAAAATGTTGACTTTTAAAAAAGAAAGTCCGCGAAAAAAGAATCGTTTAAGATTTAATTATTTTTTTATCCCTCCTTTTTTAGTTATAAGTGAAAATTATCGTTTTGTATTCTCTTCTTTTAGAAAGGAATCCAATTCAAAAATTTCTTCGTCACTGTATATTTCTTTAGGTAATTATTCGGTGAAATCAAATTTCGTTTACATAACGGAGAGGTTGCAAGATCGTTTTGCTCCTCCTACGGGTATTTTACCATAAAATTTTGAACATATGTCTGATTTCTCTGTCCGGTTTTATATTCGAATGGGTCACAGGTGGCACTCGAGAATAACTTACCAACGGAAATCACCAACAGCACCACCATCACGTTCCAGAACACATCTCTTCGCCGATTCAACAACATTCTTTCGCGGTCGTCTTCTGCTGCTTACTGAAAACCGAATCGAACCAAAGTCGTTCCGACCGCCTTCTACCTCCACTTTTTCTTCTTTACCACTTTTCACCTTCTCAATCGATCAGGTTTTCTTTCAATCGACGTGGAAGAGGTGCATCAAATGCATAAGATATGTTATAAGAGTTATATCGATTTAAGTTAAATACTCTTTGGTGGTGAGAAAGAAATAGAAAGTATTTTCAAAGTTACTTTCACTCGATTACCTTAGTAATACTTCGGTTATTTAGTGAATATTAATTTTTTTTTATTTCGAATTCATTTGGTGACGTCAAATTGTACGTTGGGTTGTATTAGAAACTTTAATTTTATTGATTCAAAAAAAAGTATTGGCATTATATAATGAGATAACTCAATTTCTGCAATATTATAATACTTAATACATAAAAATACAGTTTTAAAATATTCCAAATAAGTTACTGAATACGATAAGTAGACGCATTCAAAATTTGGCAATGAAATAAAAATGTTTCGCGGTTTTGAAAACATTTTCCACAAAATGTTAGGAAATGAATTTTAAGCAAAAATTATTGGGTTTAAAAACACCATCGCAAAATTAACACGTTAAACATGGGTGTAGAATAAATTTTCTTTCACTAAGGACTGCAAACTATTTTGATAGTATTTCATTTGGAAAAAATTTATAATAAATGTTTTTATAATATATATTATTTTGAAGTTTTGTCATAAATGCTCATAAAATACACTGTAATTATGAAACATGTATAAATATTCGTGACCAACTAATATAAATTGTTCGTACAGACGGTGGATTTTGAATATTGTAGTGTGGCAAATAGGAAAGTCATGCCGTCTTTTTGAATTTATGAGCTGAGGCACTCATTGATGTCACGCCAGTCAAAGTAGAGCAGCCAGTGAGGCACTAATGCTGTACCACGCCATGCCGAACGTGTTAATAGATCATTAATTCACCCAGTTATCCGTTTCCTCTAAAATGCTTAATATCGAAGGATTTTGCAAAGCTGGGATGCACTTATCGTGCTCTATTTTATCTTAAAATGTTTAAAAAGACTTATTGAACACGATGAGTACTCACAATCCAAATTTGGCAATGGAATAAAAGAGATGGGTGTTTTTGAAAATTTGTTGTAACAGCTCAAATCGTATTCTACTGATTTCTCTGTAACCCAAAACGGTCTGCCAATCAGGCGTAAACTAGAATTTTGATTTTATTTAGAAATCATCTCCAAAGCATCCATATTTGAAGTACCTAAGTACTATGGCAAAGTAAGCATCATCGGGTCTGATGGCAGAAAGATAAAACGGGAGTATTCGGCTCAATTCTGCTAAGTTGTCCAATGTAGCCATCAACCATTACAACAAGTTTGCCGGGTATTTTCATCAGTTGCATATTCCTCTCAAGTTTATTCCTGTCAATGCTGTCAAAGGTTTTTGTTTGATACAAAATGTGGTTCGGTATTGGTCAGATACTGACGTTTCTGGATTACAAAAAAATCAAAGATGTGGTAGTCTTTTTAGATTCTACCGTCTTTGGTTGAAAAGCTGTTTACCGATTGGGGTTGGACAAGTTATACCAGTGATTGCTCATTTACCCGCTTTCTACAAAGAAGAGGTGCAAATTCTGACTTTTCCTTCATTAAGATTAAGATCAAAAAGCATTGCTTAATGCCATCAGAGATTTAGAAGGTATATTAATTATAAATTATATAAAATTTGATCTAATGTTCTGCTATCATAATGTATTAGAATGAAATTGGATATTGAAAAAACAATCCATGAAATACTACAAAAACTATCAATAGTGTCAGAAAATTAATCGCGCAAGTTCCCAAACAAAAACACTACTGTCTAATGACTAAACCAGATCATTGAAAACTAATTTGGCAAGCTTATCTGATTTCGAGATGTATTATTATATTTATTATTCATATCCTTAGTATCTGTTTTTATCGATTTTAATTTTCGAAGCAATTCCAAAGCGATAAGGAAGAAGCAGGACAACAGTTAACAATAATTGTGAAGTTCGCGCTATCTCTGCAATTAAAGCATTTCCAAAATACACTATCAGTTCCATAATGTACTAATTCTCGTTAAAAAATTTTAACGCAAACGGCATGGAAATATTTGTCGCATCCTCCTCAATGCTGTAGATGTAGATGTGTTGCAGAATAAGATTTGTTATTTTGGAAATTATGCCAAAGGCACAGAATAACCAGAAGTGACACTGGTAGTATTCCGCCAAATTTTTAAAACCAATAGCAGCATATCTTGGCAACTCATTATAATATGGAGTCAGATTTGGTTATTCTGTGACTAGACCTAGAACTAAAAACATTTGGGTTTAGCCGTACGTCTCTTAAGATGGCTAAACCCGAATGATTCTAGTTCTAGGTCTTGTGTTAGTTCTAGTGATAGTGCTAGTGCAATACTAGAACTTACACTAGACCTAGAACTAGAATCATTCGGATTTAGCCGCACGTCTCTTAAGACGACTAAACCCGAATGATTCCAGTGCTAGGTCTTGTGTTAGTTCTAGTGATAGAGCTAGTGCAATACTAGAACTAACACTAGATCGAGGATTAGAAACATTCGGATTTAGCCGCACGTCTCTCAAGACGGCTAAACCCGAATGATTCTAGTTCTAGGTCTTGTGTTAGTTCTAGTGCTAGTCTAAAACTAGAACCAACACAAGACCTGGAACTAGAATCATTCGGATTTAGCCGCACGTCTCTTAAGACGGCTAAACCCGAATGATTCCAGTGCTAGGTCTTGTGTTAGTTCTAGTGATAGTGCTAGTGCAATACTGGAACTTACACTAGGTCTTATGTTAGTTCTAGTGCTAATCTAAAACTAGAACCAACACAAGACCTAGAACTGGAATCATTCGGATTTAGCCGCACGTCTCTTAAGACGGCTAAACCCGAATGATTCCAGTGCCTAGGTCTTGTGTTAGTTCTAGTGATAGTGCAATACTAGAACTTACACTAGACCTAGAACTAGAATCATTCGGATTTAGCCGCACGTCTTTCAAGACGGCTAAACCCGAATGATTCTAGTTCTAGGTCTTGTGTTAGTTCTAGTAATAGTGCTAGTGCAATACTAGAACTAACACTAGATCGAGGATTAGAAACATTCGGATTTAGCCGCACGTCTCTCAAGACGGCTAAACCCGAATGATTCTAGTTTTGGATCTTGTATTAGTTCTAGTAATAGTGCTAGTGCAATACTAGAACTAACACTAGACCTAGAACTAAAAAGTATCAGACACACGGTTATCAGAAATATATTTTTGTGTATTGCATTTTAAGTGAAATTCCCGCTATGGGAAGAATGGCATTGAACAGCGACATCTGTTGTTAAGTAGTTGCAACGATAAAGTTATAAATAGAAAGAATGTTATTGAACAGCGACATCTGTTGTCAAGTAGTTGCAAGATAAAGTTATAATAAATATAATATAAAAACCTTTAAACATTTTTTTTTATTAAACTTACAAATTATAATACTTAACATTCAAATTAAAATTTAAACATAGTCAATACATAATTAATTAAAAAAATAAATAATAAAAATTATCACAAATAAAATAAAAATTATAACCTTACAATTTTATTAAACTCTATAATTAGGTGTGGGCTCATAAACGGTGCCCCAAAACAACGTTAACCGCGTTTGTTCGTTTCTAATGAAGAACAAAAATGGAACGTCGACCCTAAACGTAACGATATCTCCTCCTCTGTACAAACTGGTCGATGTAACGGCGGCCGCTTCAGTCCCAGTTTCAGTAATATCAATATAAACTTTATGTAAAACTTTATCGGCGTAAAGTCCCGGATTTTCAACGTTTAATTTACTCGGATCGCCGTTTAAAACACTCCTCAATTTATCCAAAGAATCGATTCCGATTTGTCTTGTAACTCTTCGTCCTACTTTATCTCCGAATTTTTTATACGTCACTTGTTTGTGGGTTATTTTATCAACCTCTTCGCATCTTGTTATGTTGCTATTAGGATCAAAAATTTGAGTACAATTTGTTTCCGAATCGTTCGATTCATCATCATCATCGTTTCCAAATCGGTTGAATATAAGAAATTCGTTTCGATTATTTTTATGATTTTGCGGTATAACCGGGCTTCGATTTTCTAAATTACCAGGTCCGGGTGAAAGGAGAGCCAAATTAGCTAATTGAGGATTAAATAAAGCATTTACACCGAGGTTTTGTAAAGTTCCTTTTAAACTCATCGTCGATTCTAATCGCATTTTAGGAAAAAGAACCACGGAGCTTCGATATTTTGTGTTTGAAATTAATCTTTCGATATCGTTAGCTGTTAATCTCCTTTCGAATTGTTTCAAAACTTCTTTGTTGGATCCCGAGGGCATAATTACGTATAAAGTCGTTTCGTTTCCTTTGTAGGGGAATCCCATTATTTCGCAATTAAGCGATTGATCTTTGTAATAAGGGAATTGACCCCCATTCGCCATCATTTCCGCTTGAATATTCGATTGGGATTTTCTTCCGTTTGGGTAAAAATTTCTCCTTCTTGTGCTACCATCGAAAAAAGGCATCTCCCAAGCTCCGTTAAAATATAAAGCACTCACAATGATTACTTTTGTATCGGCCGGTGGGGGTTCATCAATTATGTTAGTGATTTTTCCGTTGGTTTTTTCGTTAACCCAATTGTTAATTACGTTTTGGGCGTAACCTGGTTGGCTTGAAAATCCTAAATTTCTTATTTCCGTGCGATAAATACTCGTGCTTGTGTCTTTGTACAAACTCCTTATTGGGAAATAATTTTCAACAAAAATAGCAGCTGCGATTCTTACAATCCCATTAAAATCAGCAGAGTTTCTTTCTAAAGTTTTAAATAATTGTCCTAAATGCTCGTGAACATCTTGTGTGCGAGAAGAAACGTTTATCCCAGAACTTAGCCCCATTACATTCGTTAATTCTTGAAAAGTTCTTCCATTTGACGCCAACAAAAGCAAAGCTAACGCACTCGCTATGCTAACTGGCGAAAAAACGACGTTTTTATTCTCGTTTAAGTTTAAATTATTTATTGAAATCGCCAAATTTGTTATTCCCTGCGATAAAAGTAAATCGATTTGATCGTTTGTGTTGATTCCTCGAGCTTGTTGAGTTGATGTGGGAGGAGATCCAAAAATATTTAAGACTCTATCATCTGGATAAACCAACTGGGCCAATGAAACGTGATAAAAAAGTATCGTTGTTATTATGACCTTCATCTGAAAAAGATTTAACAATAAATATTAAATATTAATAATATAAGTACGTATGCTTTTACGGCCGGTGTTAATTAAACTAAAACTAGTACTAACACTAGACCTAGAACTAGAAACATTCGGGTTTAGCTGTCTTAAGTGTTGGTTCTATTGATGGTGTTAGTACTAGTTTTAGTTTAATAAATATTAAGTTTACAAGAAAAATAAAAGATATAATCAATTTTTCTATAATGATGATTGTTTTCGTTCAAACAAACTCAACGCGAAGGTTGAATTTGAATTGGTCATATGAATAGATAAAATGGAATTGTTGTTACATGACTGTGGTAAATGAATTTATTTATTTCGTTCTTTCTGATTTAATTTAAACATGTAATTCAAAAAGTCGATGTGACCGTATTTGTGGAAATTAAATAATGATTTATATATCAAATTAAAGCGAAAAGTGTCTATTTTGGGATGATATATAATAATTTGTGTATTAACTCTATGAAATTTTGAGATATACGGAGATAACGATGCTCTCGTTCGCTATTTTTATTAAAAAAAAATGATGTAATTCAAAAAATCGTACCGATTATATTTATGGAAATTAAGTAATGACTTATATATCAAATTAAAACTAAAACTGTCTATTTTGAGATGATATATAATAATTTGTGTGTTAACTATATGAAATTTTGAGATATCTGGAGATAACGATGCTCGCTTTAGCTATTTTTATTAAAGAAAATGAGGAAATTCAAAAAATCGTACCGATTATATTTATGGAAATTATGTAATGACTTATATATTAAATTAAAGCTAAAACTGTCTGTTTTGAGATGATATATAATAATTTGTGTATTAACTCTATGAAATTTTGAGATATCTGGAGATAACGATGGTCGCTTTAGCTATTTTTATTAAAGAAAATGAGGAAATTCAAAAAATCGTACCGATTATATTTATGGAAATTAAGTAATGACTTATATATCAAATTAAACCTAAAACTGTCTATTTTGAGATGATATATAATAAATTGTGTGTTAGTTATATGAAATTTTGAGATATCTGGAGATAACGATGTCCTCTTTCGCTATTTTTATATAAAAAAGATGATGTATTTAAAAAGATCGTACCGATTATATTTACGGAAATTAAGTAATGACTTATATATCAAATTAAAGCTAAAACTGTGTATTTTGAGATGATATATAATAATTTGTGTGTTAACTATATGAAATTTTGACATATCTGGAGATAACGATGATCGCTTTAGCTATTTTTATTAAAAATAATAATGTAATTCAAAAAATCGTACCGATTATATTTATGAAAATTAAGTAATGATTTATATATCAAATTAAACTTAAAACTGTCTATTTTGAGATGATATATAATAATTTGCTTGTTAACTATATGAAATTTTGAGATATCTGAAGATAACGATGCTCGCTTTAACTATTTTTATTAAAAAAAATGAAGTAATTCAAAAAATCGTACCGATTCTATTTATGGGAATTAAGTAATGACTTATATATTAAATTAAACCTAAAACTGTCTATTTTGAGATGATATATAATAATTTGTGTGTTAACTATATGAAATTTTGAGATATCTGGAGATAACGATGCTCACTTTAGCTATTTTTATTAAAGAAAATGAGGAAATTCAAAAAATCGTACCGATTATATTTATGGAAATTATGTAATGACTTATATATCAAATTAAAGCTAAAACTGTCTATTTTGAGATGATATATAATAATTTGTGTGTTAACTATATGAAATTTTGAGATATCTGGAGATAACGATGCTTACTTTAGCTATTTTTATTAAAGAAAATGAGGAAATTCAAAAAATCGTACCGATTATATTTATGGAAATTAAGTAATGACTTATATATCAAATTAAAGCTAAAACTGTCTATTTTGAGATGATATATAATAAATTGTGTGTTAGTTATATGAAATTTTGAGATATTTGGAGATAACGATGCTCTCTTTCGCTATTTTTATATAAAAAAAATGATGTATTTAAAAAAATCGTACCGATTATATTTACGGAAATTAAGTAATGACTTATATATCAAATTAAAGCTAAAACTGTGTATTTTGAGATGATATATAATAATTTGTGTGTTAGTTATATGAAATTTTGAGATATCTGTAGATAGCAATGCTCTCTTTCGTTATTTTTATTTAAAAAAAATGATGTATTTCAAAAAATCGTACTGATTATATTTATGGAAATTAGGTAATGACTTATATATCAAATTAAACCTAAAACTGTCTATTTTGAGATGATATATAATAATTTGCGTGTTAACTCTATGAAATTTTGAGATATACGAAAATAACGATGCTCCCTTTCGCAATTTTTATTAAAAAAAAATGATGTAATTCAAAAAATCGTACCGATTATATTTATGGAAATTATGTAATGACTTATATATCAAATTAAAGCTAAAACTGTCTGTTTTTAGATAATATATAATAATTTGTGTATTAACTCTATGAAATTTTGAGATATCTGGAGATAACGATGGTCGCTTTAGCTATTTTTATTAAAAAAAAATGAAGTAATTCAAAAAATCGTACCGATTATATTTATGGAAATTAAGTAATGACATATATCAAATTAAACCTAAAATTGTCTATTTTGAGGATGATATATAATAATTTGTGTGTTAGTTATATAAAATTTTGAGATATCTGGAGATAACGATGGTCGCTTTAGCTTCTTTTTATAAAAAAATGATGTAATAAAAAAAATCGTACCGTCTATATTTATGGAAATTAAGTAATGATTTATATATCAAATTAAAGATTAAACTATCTATTTTCAGATGATATATAATACTTTGTGTGTTAACTATATGATATTTTGAGATATTCGGAAATAACGATGCTTGCTTTAGCTTATTTTTATAAAAAAAATTGATACTATTATTATTTAAAAAATCGTACCGACTATATTTATGAAAATTAAGTAATGATTTATGTATCAAATTAAAGCTAAAACTATCTATTTTGAGATGACACATAATAATTTGTATGTTAACTATATGAAATTTTAATTCTAGCGCTAGAAACATTCGGGTTTAGCCGTCTTAAGAGATGTACGACTAAACCCGAATGGTTCTAGTTCTAGGTCCAGTGTTAGTTCTAGTTTTAATTGCAATTCAGGGTTAGATTGTTCTATACTTTTCATTGAATTAAAACTAGAACTAACTCTAGACCTAGAATTAGAAACTTTCAGGTTTAGCCGCGCGTCTCTCAAGAGGGCTAAACCCGAATGTTTCTAATTCTAGGTCTAGTATGAGTTCTAATGATAGTGTTGGTTCTAGTTTTAGTTTAATAAATATTAAGTTTACAAGAAAAATAAAAGATATAATCAATTTTTCTATAATGATGACTGTTTTCATTTAAACAAACTCAACGCGAAGGTTACATTTGAAATTGATCATATGAATAGATAAAATAGAATTGTTGTTACATGACTGTGTTAAATGAATTTATTTATTTCGTTCTTTCTGATTTAATTTAAACAAGTTTTTCGTTTAATTTCATAGTTTTTTTTTGGTTAATTTGGAGTGTGTTCATTTAGATTGAGGTCACATCATCAACGAGAAGGTCGTTGGTATTTACATAAATTTAAATTTAGAAAGTATTATGCATGCACACTTTACAAAAATTGTTACGACTTGTTTTACAAAGTTCTTTTAGTAGTGATGTTTCAAAGAAATGAATAAATTAAAAAACTTACATTTAGTATTTCTCAACATCAACTTCTTTCTTTAACTTCTTTTTTCATTAAACTGTTTGTCTCACACAAAATCAAAATGATTTTTTTTGGTCACGTTCCTTTCTGCGACCGCTCGCAACACATGAATGACTCTCGGACATGTGCAACCTCTGGTTTGTACACCAGTTGACCTTCCCCACTAAAACTTGATGACGCTCTCGATTTTTGCCTGGAATTTATCTAATTTTTGCTTTGCGCATATTATCTCAACAGCATCCACTCCTTTTCAGAGTACAAAAACCTGTTCTACCAAACTTAAATGTTACTCAATTTTTGTTTTATTTCGTCTTGGTCCAAACCTTGACTTCAGTTTTTGAAGTGCTAAAAACTTTACCGTAAATGGCCCCAGGATACTTAATTTTTTTTATGCATGCGCTGATGAAGAGGTGATCTGTTAATTCTAAAGAAACGCGGGGATTTCTTTATCATATCATTTTTCCTTTCTTATGGTAATTAGTTTAATTTTTTTATTGGACTTTAAAAGTTTTTGTGACGTTAATTTCTTATTAACGCAATTTTCTCGGAGATTAAATGTAATTCTGCAGAAAATCTTTCTTCTAAGAATCAGTTTTTTTGTGTAGTGTGGTCTGAGTCATAATTGGTTTAAATTAGGCTTTATTTTTTTATATCAAATTAAAACTTAACCAATCTAGTTTCAGGTGATATATAACAATTTGTATGTTGGATGTATGAAATTTTAAGATAACCATGCTGGTTTTAGCTCAATTTGATACAAAAATTTATAAAATTCAAAAATTCGTTCTGACTATATTAATGGAAATTAAGTAATGATTTATATATCAAATTGAAGCTAAAAGTATCCATTTTCAGATGATATATAATAATTTATATGTTGAATGTATGAAATTTTGAAATATCCAAAGATAACGATGCTCGCTTTAACTTCTTTTTATATAAAAAAATGATGTAATTCAAAAAATCGTACATACTATATTTATGGAAATTAAGTAATGATTTATATATCAAATTGAAGCTAAAAGTATCTACTTTAAGATGATATATAATAATTTATATGTTGAATGTATGAAATTTTGAGATATCCGGAGATAATGATGCTCACTTTAGCTTTTTTTAAAAAGAAATTGATGTGATTCAAAAAATCGAATTTGTGGAAATTAAATAATGATTTATATATCAAATTAAAGCTTAAACTATCTATTTTGAGATGACACATAATAATTTGTATGTTAACTATATGAAATTTGGAGATATCCGGAGATAACGATGGTCGTATTAGCTTCTTTTTGGAAAAAATGATGTAATTCAAAAAATCGACGTGACTGTATTTGTGGAAATTAAATAATGATTTATATATCAAATTGAAGCTAAAACTATGTATTTTGAGATGATATATAATAATTTGTATGTGAATTATATGAAATTTTGAGATATCCGGAGATAACGATATTTGCTGTAGCATATTTTTATAAAAAAAAATGATATAATTCAAAAAATCGTACCGATTATACTTATGGAAATTAAGTAATGACTTATATATCAAATTACAGCTTAAAGTATGTATTTTGAGATGATACATAATAAATTGTATGTTAACTAAATGAAATTTTGAGATATCCGGAGATAACTACGCTCGCTTTAGCTTATTTTCATTCAAAAAATGATGTTATTTAAAAAATCGTACCGACTATATTTATGAAAATTAACTAATGACTTATATATCAAATTAAAGCTTAAAGTATGTATTTTGAGATGATACATAATAATTTCTGTGTTAACTATATGAAATTTTGAGATATCAAGAGATAACGATGTTCGCTTTAGCTTCTTTTTATAAAAAAAATGATGTAATTCAAAAAATGGCACCAACTATATTTATTTAAATTAACTAATGATTTATCTATCAAATTAAAGCTTAAATGATCTATTTTGAGATGACACATAATAATTTGTATGTTAACTATATGAAATTTGGAGATATCCGGAGATAACGATGGTCGTATTAGCTTCTTTTTACAAAAAAATGATGTAATTCAAAAAATCTACTTGACTGTATTTGTGGAAATTATATAATGATTTATATATCAAATTAAAGTTAAAACTATCTATTTTGAGATGATATATAATAATTTGTATGTGAACTATATAAAAATTTGAGATATCCTGAGATAACGATGCTCGCTTTAGTTATTTTTATTAAAAAAATGATGTAATTCAAAAAATCGTACCGATTATATTTATGGAAATTAAGTAATGACTTATATATCAAATTACAGCTTAAAGTATGTATTTTGAGATGATACATAATAATTTGTATGTTAACTAAATGAAATTTTGAGATATCAGGAGATAACTACGCTCGCTTTAGCTTATTTTCATTCAAAAAATGATGTAATTCATAAAATCGTACCGACTATATTTATGAAAATTAACTAATGACTTATATATCAAATTAAAGCTTAAAGTATGTATTTTGAGATGATACATAATAATTTCTGTGTTAACTATATGAAATTTTGAGATATCAAGAGATAACGATGTTCGCTTTAGCTTCTTTTTATAAAAAAAATGATGTAATTCAAAAAATGGCACCAACTATATTTATTTAAATTAACTAATGATTTATCTATCAAATTAAAGCTTAAATGATCTATTTTGAGATGACACATAATAATTTGTATGTTAACTATATGAAATTTTGAGATATCCGGAGATAACGATGGTCGTATTAGCTTCTTTTTAGAAAAAATGATGTTATTCAAAAAGTCGACGTGACTGTATTTGTGGAAATTAAATAATGATTTATATATCAAATTGATGCTAAAACTATGTGTTTTGAGATGATATATAATAATTTGTATGTGAACTATATGAAATTTTGAGATATCCGGAGATAACGATGTTTGCTGTAGCATATTTTTATTAAAAAAAAATGATATAATTCAAAAAATCGTACCGATTATATTTATGGAAATTAAGTAATGACTTATATATCAAATTAATGCTTAAAGTATGTATTTTGAGATGATATATAATAATTTGTATGTTAACTAAATGAAATTTTGAAATATCCGGAGATAACTACGCTCGCTTTAGCTTATTTTCATTCAAAAAATGATGTAATTCATAAAGTCGTACCGACTATATTTATGAACATTAACTAATGTCATATAAATCAAATTAAAGCTTAAAGTATGTATTTTGAGATGATACATGATAATTTCTGTGTTAACTATATGAAATTTTGAGATATCAAGAGATAACGATGCTCGCTTTAGCTATTTTTATTAAAAAATTGTTTAATTCAAAAAATCGTACCGATTATATCGATGGAAATTAAGTAATGACTTATATATTAAATTAAACCTAAAACTGTCTATTTTGAGATGATATATAATAATTTGTGTGTTAACTATATGAAATTTTGAGATATCCGGAGATAACGATGGTCGTATTAGCGTCTTTTTAGAAAAAATGATGTAATTCAAAAAGTCGACGTGACTGTATTTGTGGAAATTAAATAATGATTTATATATCAAATTGAAGCTAAAACTATGTGTTTTGAGATGATATATAATAATTTGTATGTGAACTATATGAAATTTTGAGATATCCGGAGATAACGATGTTTGCTGTAGCATATTTTTATTAAAAAAAAATGATATAATTCAAAAAATCGTACCGATTATATTTATGGAAATTAAGTAATGACTTATATATCAAATTAATGCTTAAAGTATGTATTTTGAGATGATATATAATAATTTGTATGTTAACTAAATGAAATTTTGAAATATCCGGAGATAACTACGCTCGCTTTAGCTTATTTTCATTCAAAAAATGATGTAATTCATAAAGTCGTACCGACTATATTTATGAACATTAACTAATGTCATATAAATCAAATTAAAGCTTAAAGTATGTATTTTGAGATGATACATGATAATTTCTGTGTTAACTATATGAAATTTTGAGATATCAAGAGATAACGATGCTCGCTTTAGCTATTTTTATTAAAAAATTGTTTAATTCAAAAAATCGTACCGATTATATCGATGGAAATTAAGTAATGACTTATATATCAAATTAAAGCTTAAAGTATGTATTTTGAGATGATATATAATAATTTGTATGTTAACTATATGAAATTTTGAGATATCCGGAGATAACAATGGTCGTATTAGCTTCTTATTAGAAAAAATGATGTAATTCAAAAAGTCGACGTGACTGTATTTGTGGAAATTAAATAATGATTTATATATCAAATTAAAGCTAAAACTATGTATTTTGAGATGATATATAATAATTTGTATGTGAACTATATAAAAATTTGAGATATCCTGAGATAACGATGCTCGCTTTAGCTATTTTTATTAAAAAAATGATGTAATTCAAAAAATCGTACCGATTATATTTATGGAAATTAAGTAATGACTTATATATCAAATTAAAGCTTAAAGTATGTATTTTGAGATGATATATAATAATTTGTATGTTAACTATATGAAATTTTGAGATATCTGGAGATAACGATGTTCACTTTAGTATATTTTTATAAAAAAAATAATGTAATTCAAAAAATCGTATCGACTATATTTACAGAAATTAAGTAATGACTTATATATCAAATTAAAGCTAAATCTATCTATTTTCAGATGATACATAATACTTTGTGTATTAACTATATGAAATTTTGAAATATCCGGGGATAACGATACACGCTTTAGCTTATTTTTATAAAAAATGTGTAAAAACTGTAAAAAAGAAACAACCAAATATAACTATAACTGCACAAATAGTTCTTGGAACGATTCTCATTTAAATAAATACGTAACTTATTTTAATATTTGCTTTACCCAGATATTTCGGTGACACGCTTTGGTAAATTTACAGTTTGTCATTCATATCGCTGCAGTATCCACTTGGAAAATCCATCCCTTTTATTTTAGTTTCTTTATTCTCGTATAACTCACCATTCCGATTGTTAACTTTTACGGTGATATTGCGTCATTCTTTGTTTTGTTGTTTTCTAATCTCTTTTTAAAACCACAAGATTAAATCTTATCGCTTCAGAAATTAATTGAATAAAAACATATTTTCGTATGGTTTCACGTTTTTTTTATGTGCAAAACGTGTTAATTATTGAATAGGTTATAGATTAAATTAAAAAGAAACATGTGTTTTTATCAAGATTAAATTTAAATAAATTTTTATTCTGATTATCAAGAAATTATTATAAATTTTTATATAAACTTTAATTATAACTTAAAAAGTTTTAATTTTTTTTAGATTTGAGTCGTAGACGATCTTGAGCATGGGAAAACCACAACATCGTCGCTCTTTGAATATCGCATTCTTTCGCGTTAGCATGCGTCATTAAAACAGCGTCTCTAACAGCGTTATTTAGTTTCATATTTCTTAGGCAGTGTTTTCCATTCGCTCCGGTCCAACATATTTTTGCGGCTAATGTTGTGGTACAAAGTTTGTTCCAAATTTTTCTTGTTGTTGCTTCGACGGTTTTTCCCCCAATTTTTCCCATGATCACTACCTAAATTTAAAAGATAAAATTTAAAATAATTAAAAGATTATTTATTAAATACTAATTCGTTGTAATTCCATTTGATTTTGATGTATTCCTCGATCGCCAAGAATTCTTTTAAAGAGTTTGCTGGTTGGGAAAAATCAATCTCTGGGATATGTTCACCACAAGCTACAGAAAGTATAAGATCAACACTTTTTTGAAGCTTTATTAACATCGCCTTGTTTTCGATCACGTTTTGAATCAAATTTTCAAGGATTATTTCTAAAAAAGACCAATTTATTAACACATTTTAGACCAATTTTGAATTTCTTACTTACTTGTACTTTCAGAATAAACTGGATCTATTAAGAATAATCCATCAGTTTTACTAGATCCTGATTCTGGAGATTTTACATTAATGTTTTCTTCCTCGTCTACATGTTTAAGTAATTTATTTATTAATCACTTAAAATAATCAATTTCTTACCTCTTATTGAGTTATCTATATCCGATTTTAACTCAATGTCCATTGAGGTAATTTCCTCGAATACATTTTCAAAATTATGGGACATATTTTAAAAATTTTACCCAGAAAACACGTTGAATTGTAAGAGAGTTATAAAATAACACGTTTATTTTATATTAAAAGGTTTTTTTTGGGTGTTTTCGAAAAAACTCGTTTTAAACAGCGCCATCTATTTTTAAAATTTTTTTTTTGAATTTAAAGAAAATAATAAATTTCTTTTTACAAAATTAAATTTTAAGACATTTTAATAATAATTTATTAACTTATAATATTAATACTAAACAATATAATCATTTTTAAAGTAATTTAAACAATAACTCAAACAGTTTCCTTTTTTATCACAGTCAACGTCAAATTTGTTTGTCAATAACCTCAAATACAAACATCATGAATTTCGACGACGATTTAGATTTTATTTCGGGAAAAAAGGTAAAATTTATTTAGTTTCAACTAATTTTTCACTTATTAAATAAATTTTAGGTGTCTGCTTTACAAGGTCGAAGATCCGGAGGTAAAGATAGTAATAAATCGGACTCTTTGGATGATGAACCAAGTAATTCACCACCGGAGGCTTTAATGTACGCTAGAAAAACTGGGAAATGGGCTGAGGATAGTGCGAAATCTGGAAAGTACGATTTTAATTTGTTAATTAATTAAAATTTTTATAAAAATTTTGATTTTAGGCGTAAAAATTCAACAAACATCATTGAATTGTATGTAAAAAGTTAAAAAATTTTTTTAATCAAACCAAGTTTATTTTAGGGAACGCTTCCAATCGGAAAAACACGAATCAGATGAAGATGATATCCCAATAATACCTGATATTGAAGATTTTCAAGATGATAGTAGCAGCCCAATTGATGATCAAAATCTTGTGTATGCCCAAATTAATTGATTTTATAAAAAAATAATGGTTAAATGTTTTAGTTCTCATGGATTTAAATCAACTTATAAAGAACTTGACTCAGAATTGGTTAAAATAGAGACTCACCAACAATTTGTAAATAAATCAAAGATTGATTTATCTTTATTAACATCAAAATTAATCCCCGAAAAGGATATTAAAGAAAATGATGAGATTTGGACGATTGAAAGTTTATTTGAGAACGTTATGTCATTCGTAAATACTTAATTAGATTAAGAATTATTTATATTTTTTAAAATCGCAAATACGGTTAGAGGTTAAATTCTATCAACCTCTATTTTTATCTAAAGCACAAACACTTTCAGTTTAATCTTAAACTTCTTTTAAACAAGATGCTTACAATAATTTTCATTTTTCTATTGTTAACATTATTGTTTATAAAAATCGTTCAAACACAAAAATATTGGAGTAGACGAGGAGTTATCCATGGCTCTTTATTGCAAGATTTCGTTCGAGTTTTTATTAAAAGAGAATCATTTTGCGAAGCTCTTATTAGAGTTTATACAACATTTCCTAATTCGAGGTAAAAATTTAAATAAATTATAAAATGTCATCAATTCTAACCTCTCAAACTTGCGAAATGACACATGTCAATGAAAGTTTAATTATCAAATTTACAATAAATAATTAGTGTTTTCAATTGATTACACTTTAAGCACTTAATGATAAACGTTATATATATATGATAAATATATATAAATAAATAAATGTTTATAAATAATTATATTAAAAAATTTTTTTTTTTCAAATTTATGTTGGTAATAAAACTTATTGACGTTTAAAATCGATCATAACCTCACTTTTTTAAATTTAAAATTTTTTTAAATTCCAGTTTTGTTGGATTATCTCAAACTCTTCTCCCCGATTTAGTTCTTACAAACATAGATTTAATAAAAGAAATTTGTATAAAAGATTTCGATCATTTCACTGACCACAGATGGTTCATTCCGGATGGAGTCGATGAATTATGGTCAAAAAATTTGTTTGCATTAAAAGGAATCGAATGGAAACACATGAGAACAACGCTAAGCCCGTGTTTTACATCAAACAAAATGAAAATACTTTTTAATTTAATCGCTGAATGTTCTCAAACTCACCTCGAATTTTATTCAAATAAAATAAGTAACATAAAAACCGTCGAGTTAAGTGATATCTTTACACGTTATACGACTGATATTATAGCAACGGTCGCTTTTGGTTTAAAAAGTGATTCAATTACGAATAAAAACAATGATTTTTATGTGATGGGGGAGAAATCGACTTCTTTTGGATTTTCAACAAAAATTTTTATGTTGTTATACACGATAATGCCTGCAATTCCGAAAATGTTGGGTTTAACATTTTTGAATAGAAAAGTAAGCGAAATATTTAAAAGGACTGTAAATGATACTATTAAACTAATAGAAGAAAAAGGAATTTTTCGGCCAGATATGATTCATATATTATTAGAAGCTCGAAAACATCGAATTAAAGAAGATGAAAATCAAACGATAAACGAGAACGAATTCGCTGTTGTTAACGAAATGTTAAAAGGGGGTTACAAAAAACCTTTTATTACCAATAATGATATTGCATCTCAAGCTGTAATATTTTTCTTTGCCGGTTTTCACACAGTTTCAGTTTTATTATGTTTCATGGCTTACGAACTCGCTTTAAATCCACAAATACAAAAGAGATTACAGCAAGAAATCGACGAAACTTTAAATAAATGTAAAGGAAAAATAAATTACGAATCATTAATCGGAATGAAATACATGGACATGGTTGTAACCGAAACTTTTAGAAAATGGCCTCCAGTTATCGGTGTTGATAGAGCTTGTACAAAAAAATACACCTTTAAACCTACAAATAATAACGAAAAATCATTAAAAATTTATCCGGGTGAATTAATTTGGATTCCGGTTGGTGCTATTCATCGAGATCCAAAATTTTACCCAAATCCCGATGAATTCAAACCCGAGAGATTTAACGAATACAATAAAGACAAAATTAAACCGTACACTTTTTTACCGTTTGGATTGGGGCCGAGAAATTGTATCGGATCTCGATTAGCTTTGTTAGAAATAAAAATGTTTTTCTTTTTTATTTTAACTAAATTTGAATTTGTTCCAAATCAAAAAACCGATAAAAATTTAAAATTAAAGAAGTCGTCGTTTAATTTGCTGGAAGCGAAAGAAATTTGGGTTGATTTAAAATTACGTGATTTATAATATGTTGTCACATAAAATTTTTTGTAAGCACAAAAGAGTTTTATTCTTTAACTATGCCAAAACATAAGTCCTCTCGACTGAGAGATCGATATCATTCATTTGATGTAAATAATTTGAAGTAAATCAAGCATACAACATTTTAATTTATACTCACTTCGCCGAGGTCGCTTGCGGGCGAGGCGCTAGAGTCTTCCAAAACTGATAATGTTGTGTTGATATATTAAGTCTGCCGCCTCGCCCGCAAGCGATCTCGGCGATTTGAGATGATACCGTTCATTTGATGTTTTGGAAAGTAAATCAAGCATACAACATAATCACTCACTTCGCCGAGGTCGCTTGCGGGCGAGGCGCTAGATATTTAGTTATATGAACGTAAATCTAGTATAAATAATCGATTTTTGTGCTTCGCCCGCAAGCAACCTCGGCGGTGTTAGACGATATGGTTCTTTTGATGTTTTGGAAACTAAACCAAGCATACAACATTTTGATTTATACTCACTTCGCCGAGGTCGCTTGCGGGCAAGGCGCTAGATATTTAGTTATATGAACGTAAATCTAGTATAAATAATCGATTCTTGTGCCTCGCCCGCAAGCGACCTCGGCGGTGTTAGACGATATGGTTCATTTGATGTTTTGGAAACTAAACCAAGCACACAACATTTCAATTTATACTCACTTCGCCGAGGTCGCTTGCGGGCGAGGCGCTAGAGTCTTCCAAAACTGATAATGTTGTGTTGATATATTAAGTCTGCCGCCTCGCCCGCAAGCGATCTCGGCGATTTGAGATGATACCGTTCATTTGATGTTTTGGAAAGTAAATCAAGCATACAACATTTTAATTTATACTCACTTCTCCGAGGTCGCTTGCGGGCGAGGCGCTAGATATTTAGTTATATGAACGTAAATCTAGTATAAATAATCGATTCTTGTGCCTCGCCCGCAAGCGACCTCGGCAGTGTTAGACGATATGGTTCATTTGATGTTTTTAAAACAAAACCAAGCACACAACATTTTAATTTATACTCACTTCGCCGAGTTCGCTTGCGGGCGAGGCGCTAGATATTTACTTATATGAACGTAAATCTAGTATAAATAATCGATTCTTGCATCTCGCCCGCAAGCGACCTCGACGGTGTTAGACGATATGGTTCATTTGATGTTTTGGAAACTAAACCAAGCACACAACATTTCAATTTATACTCACTTCGCCGAGGTTGCTTGCGGGCGAGGCGCTAGAGTCTTCCAAAACTGATAATGTTGTGTTGATATATTAAGTCTGCTGCCTCGCCCGCAAGCGATCTCGGCGATTTGAGATGATACCGTTCATTTGATGTTTTGGAAAGTAAATCAAGCATACAACACTTCAATTTATACTCACTTCGCCGAGGTCGCTTGCGGGCGAGGCGCTAGAGTCTTCCAAAACTAACTGATAATGTTGTGTTGATATATTAAGTCTGCCGCCTCGCCCACAAGCGCTCTCAAGACAAGAGTATACCAGTAGAAGAAGTCTTCCAAGTTAATCCAGGTAAATGAAAGTCGCCAACTACGAGGATGACGTCATCTGGATTACGATCATTAATCCTCTGCAGCTGTAGAAGAAAGCTGTCGATCTCAACAGTATCATTGGAAGGCAGGTAAACAACACGACAAAACAAGCGACATTAGAGACACAAGAATACTCCTTTTGGCCGCCACAAGAACACCACCTCCATCGAGCTTGGTAGATAAAAGAAGATCTGTCACAATGATAGATCACTGAGTCGTTCCAAAATGTCTCCGTAAGAAGTATAAAATCGTATTAACGCTGTGGAAATTAATAAAACATTTAGTGGTTTTCGTATGTAGACTACGGACGTTTTGGTAGTAAAAAGACCAGACCATACAAGATTAAGAGAAAATCATCAAAAAAAAGATCACATCTTAGAGTCTCAACAAATCAACATGAGACTTTATAATCACCATCCTCGATCTGTCATCATTGCGGGCATGAACAACGCAATTTTTAGTCCATATATACAGGGTGATTCACATAAGAACCGACACAGAGCAGAGACATGTAGAGGACAATAAATTAAGATGATTTAACGCAACTTATCTCTATACTAAGTTGTACCCCTGAGGAGTTATAGGCCTTCAAAGTTGGGTCTTACATTTTTAAAATATTGAATATCTTCGTAATACATTAAGCTAGAAAAACCAAATTTGGTATACGTTATGAGTGTACCGAGGGTATTAATTGGTAGCAAGTTGAGGCATTCCAAAGGGTTGATTAAGGGTGATGGTCCCCTAAATTTTGACAGATTTTTTTAACCTTTTGATGGATTTAATGCATTATTACCTCATTTCATGTGGAATTTAATTCTAAAACTTTTCTTACTCTTAAGTTATTTGACAACAAGGTTTTATAACCTATTTGTCAAGTTTGACATACAATTTCACAGCCGACTACTGAATTTTCGATGATTTTAAGTAGCATTAACGAAATACGTGTCTTTAGTTATTTCAGTTTTTTATGAAAACGACAATGTTTTTTAAAAAATTATAAGAGTAAAAAAAGTTTTAGAATGAAATTCCACATGAAATGAAGTAGTAAATTATTATATCCGCCAACGGGTTAAAAAAATATGTTAAAATTTATAGTACCATCACCTTTAATCAACCCTTTGAAATGCCTCAATTGAGATCAATTTGCTACCAATTAATATCCTTGGTACACTCATAACGTATACCAAATTTGGTTATTCTAGCTTAATTTATTACGAAGTTATTGAACTTTTCAAAAATTTAAGAGCCAACTTTGAAGAGATAAGTTACTTTAAATGATCTTAATTTATTGTCCTCTACATGTCCCTGCTCTGTGTTGGTTCTTATGTGAATCACCCTGTATTTATAATTTTTATCACGATATGATACGATACGATATGGATAGAAATAAAAAGGATGAGGGTTACCAGCTGCTAGTGGAAGTTTGAGAACACTGTTTCCGTATTTTCAGACAATTTTTTACCCATTTTGATCTCTTCCTTTCTTCTTCTTCACTACTATTGCGGTAATAGTAGCAAACTGATACTAAAACTGACAAGTAAATTTGAACCGTGTGTTCCATAATTTTCATTTCACATTTGCTCTCATTCAAACATGCTTCAGTTTTGCATCACCGTGTATAGGCCTCATCAGTTTTCAACTAAGTTATTGGATCTAGCCGTTTTAGTTTTTAAAATATGACCGAAAAACAAAAAAATTACTTTTTCGTTTTTTACCTATAACTTCTTTATTTTTCGTTTTTTCGTGAATCTGAAAAAACATTCTTATTCAAATTTTTATGAAAAATGTCATGACATAACTAGAAATTTTCTCCGACGTTTCGTCTCCGTGTAACTATCATCAGGTTTTAATTCAATGTTTTTTTTTTAAATGAAATACATTGTGTGACTATATCATAAATCAGAATTAATTATCCTATTAAATAACCTGATGATAGTTTCACGAAAACGAAACGTGTTGTAGATAAAAATTTCGGACAATGTCCGAATTCGGGTATAGTGAGTAACATATACAATATGTATATAATATATATAATGAAGTAAACAACTCCCACTTTCTTTCCTTTTTGTTAATTCCCTCTCATTCTCAAAAATGGAAACGAAACTCAATATGTTATAACGATACATAAACAACGGAACAGAAAGAGATGTGGAAATTACAATTTTTGTATTTATATTTATAGTAGGTGTATTACCTAACTTAAACATGAAAGGAAATGGATATGAGAAAGAAAGAGACGGAGAGTACGAAGAAAGAAAGGATTAAAGACACCCAACTCAAGTTAAGCCTCAACTTAACACACTTTTTCTACCCGGTTCGCTCGAAATGTGGGACATTCACTTCTCAGTCTAGATTCAGTAAGCTCACGTTAAAACTCGAAGAAAAAAAGCACCTTGTTTAAGATTCGTTTTAATTGAAATATTTAAATTTAAAACTTGATGTTTTGATAACTTTCTATTATCTATATATACAATTTTTAATTTTTTTGGGTGTTACTGTATTTCAAGTTAATGTGGTTTACTTTCAAATTGGGTGAGTAATTTAAAAAAAAAATGTTATCTTTTAATACACGTTTATTAAATGACTCTTATTCTTAACGAGTGATTCAGACGTTTTTAGTGGAATTCTTAAGAAAAAATTTTTGTTGTTGACCTTGGATGATCAATATGATAAGTTAACAAATCTTATAAGAATTTAGTGGGTTATAACTTTTTAATAAAATTCATATTTACTTTATTAATATTTGCGGCTTGTTGTTTGCAACTGAAGAGCAGATCGGTCGTTGACCTAAAAATGATGAACTAAATAAGAAGAAAGTTATGCTTCAATTTCAACTCGATTCTTATTTAAATTCTTATTTGAAAAACTTAACTTGCATCATTATTTTCTTTTTGTGCCAAAAGAAAATATGTTAATTAAATTATTTCTTCACCCAACCTACTTATTAAATAGATTTAGTTGATTCCTTTTTAGTTTTAGAACCTTATTTATGAATATAAACGATTTTAGGATGTTTTTTACGATTTTCATCGTTTTAATCATCGCATATTTACCAACATCAAACGGACACGGAAGATTAATTGAACCTCCAAGTAGAGCTTCAGCTTGGAGATATGGATTTAACACACCCCCAGATTACAATGATCACGAATCGTTTTGTGGCGGATTTACCCGGCAATGGGTGAAGAATTCTGGTAAATGTGGGATTTGTGGAGATGCTTGGGATTCAAGGTAAATAACTAACTCAAAGATACAAATTTTAATAAAAAAATGAATTATTTTTAGTGTTCCACGTCCTCATGAATTCGGCGGTACTTTTGGTCAAGGTGTTATCGTAAGAAATTATTTTCCAAACAGTGAAGTTCCAATAAAAGTCGAATTAACCGCCTCGCATATGGGATATTTTACATTTTCCCTTTGTCCTGATTACAAGAATCCTACCGAGAAATGTTTAGAAGATAACTTTTTGGATAATTCGCACCCCCAAAACGAAGTCGACCACAAAACGAAACGTTTTTACCCGAAAGATGGAAACAAAATTTACGAAATGACGTTCAAACTACCGCCACAACTATCATGTAAACACTGCCTATTAATTTGGAGATACATTTCCGGAAATAACTGGGGCGATTGCCCAAATGGAACATCTTCCATCGGTTGTGGACCTCAAGAAGAATTTAGAGCATGCGCGGATATCTCAGTTTCAGATAAATTCGAGATTACAACAAGAATTCCTTTCCAAACAACTCAAACTACTTTCATAAATACTTCATCTACAACAACACCAATTCAAGAAAACGTTTATTCCCCATTAAATTCGATTTTAATTATATTAATTACTTTTTTAATAGTATGTTTGGGTATGTTTATGATTTATTTTTATTTCTATCAAGTCGGTAAAAGAATTAAAGATTGGATTGACAAGATACTTTGTATAAATGATCATCAAAACGAGAAAGATTCCAAAAATGACTCGAATTCAAAAGAATCAAGCGAAATCGGGTCATTTCCGGTTGTACCACCCAGAAATAAAAAGAATAAACCCGTAGGAGACGTTGATATGGAAGAAATAGACTTAAATACCGTTCAAGTACTTTAAATAAAGACTGTAATATAAATAATTAGTTAATAATTATTATTAAGGTTAACTCCCCAAACAATTTTATTTAATTATAAGGTAAATAATTCACTTGAGAATTAGTAGAAATAAAAATAATTTATTTTATGTAAATATTGATATAACCTCAATTTTCATCGATTTTGACAAAACGTTTATGAATTAATAAATAAAATTTATGATATGATTAATTAATTATTTAAATTGTGTTTTTATTTTTACCCATCATTTTTAAAAACGTTAAGAATTATTGAAACCAGCAAAAAACATAAAATAAAGATTTGCTTGGAAAGAGATGACATCGAATGTTCCTAATTCTAGATGTAGTGTTAATTCTAGTTCTAGTGATAGTGCAAAACTAGAACTAACACTAAACCTAGATCTAGAATCACTCGGGTTTAGCTGCACGTCTCTCAAGACGGCTAAACCCGAATGATTCTAGTTCTAGGTCTTGTGTTAGTTCTAGTGATAGTGTTAGTGCAAAACTAGAACTAACACTAGACCGAGGGGAAGAAACATTCGGATT